GCTTTAGACCATAAAGATTTTGTAGAAAAGGCAGTTCAAGAATTAATTGATGCTAGTTTGATAAAAGAGGTATCGAAACAGACTGCATGTTGTTAACCCGTTAACTGTATCGATTAATTCATCAGGTAAAGGTCGTTTAATTTTAGACTTGAGACACGTAAACAAGCAAGTTGTTTATAGTAAAATTAAGTTTGAGGACTGGAAAACTGCCAGTCAGTTTTTGACAAGCGATTGTTTTGGTTTTGCCTTTGATTTAAAATCAGGTTATCATCACATAAACATTTTCCCTAATCATCAGAAGTATTTGGGGTTTTCTTGGAAGTTTGGTGAAACGGTAAAATATTTTGTTTTTACAGTTTTGCCGTTTGGCCTCTGTTCAGCGGGATACGTATTCACTAAAGTTGTAAGACCTTTAATTGCTCACTGGCGCAAAGATGGTATCAAAATTACAGTGTATTTAGATGATGGCTTATGTTTAGCGGAGACTGAAAAATCAGTGAGGGTCAAACACGATTTGATATTGTCAGGTTTTGTTCCAAACAAGGACAAGTGTATATGGACACCTGTTCAAACTTTAGTTTGGCTTGGTTTCACTTGGAATTTGAAAAGTTCTTTGATGGAGTTGCCGTTAATTAAAATAGATAATTTTATCCATTTGATTGATGTAATTCTGTCTAAAGCTTTTAAAGTTAAAATTAGGTTATTAGCTAAATTATGTGGAAAAATTATTTCCTTTTCACCAGCTATTGGAAATGTTACTCAAATTATGACAAGGTGTACTTTTTCTGTTATAAATTTAAAACAAGACTGGGATCAGTACGTTGATTTGAGACACCATTCAGATAGTATTCAAGAAATTTTGTTTTGGAAACAAAATATTCACTGTTTGAAGCCATTACCTTTATTACGGAATAATTCTGAATTTAATGTTTTCACTGATGCTAGTGATATAGGTGCAGGAGGTTATTTACAAGGTACTGATTATATTGCACACAGACAGTGGTCTGTGACAGAGGCAACAAAAAGCTCCACTTGGAGAGAGGTGAAAGCCATTGAATTATCTTTAGATAGTTTTGCGAAAGTATTAGAACACAGTTCAGTTACTTTTTTCACAGATAATCAAAATGCTGTTAGTATTATTAAGAAAGGAAGCAAATTACCACACTTGCAAGGTTTAGCTTTATCAATTTTTAATACTTGTGTGTCGCGTAATATTTCATTATATGCACAGTGGATTCCTAGAGAGGAAAACGAAAAGGCTGATGCTTTGAGTAGAATTATTGACATTGATGATTGGGGCATATCTTTTGAATTTTTTGATTTTTTGAATAGCATCTGGGGACCATTCACTGTTGACAGGTTTGCTAACATGCATAATACTAAGCTGACTAGGTTTAATTCGAAATATTGGAATCCTACAACATCAGCGATAGATGCATTCACTTGCAACTGGCATGGCGAGAACAACTGGTTAGTTCCGCCAATTAGTCTAGTTAGTAACTGTATTAACCATTTAGTCTCTTGTGGAGCAGAGGGTACACTTGTTGTTCCTAAATGGCAGTCTGCTGCATTTTGGCCTTTGATTTTTAAACAGAACTTGGAATACGCTTGTTATGTTGTTGATGTTTTAGAATTTCATGAAGTGGAAAGAATTTTTGTTGCTGGTAACAATTTAAACTCTTTGTTTGCTAATGGTAAATTTCACGGGAAAATATTAGCTGTACATTTAAATGCTTCGGTTGTGTAATACGTATATTTATTTTACAGATTTATATTACCACTGGGTATTGCGTTTTGCTACGGTGTTACTGTGTACACACATTGGACTGCCTTTTTTGGTCACTGGACCCTCATCTTATTGGTCGCTGGACTATTGTTATAGATTGTATTATTATTTGACCAAGTCACTGGACTAGTATGGATATAGTTTCAAGGTACTGTATTTTATATTTATAACTTTATTCTACCGATTGTATATATATTTTGCAGACAATATTTTCTGTTGGATTTTGGTCACAGAACGAACAGATTAAACACCCTGAACTTAGATCATTGTTTAATAGTTTATCTTCAACCATTCTTGATGCTCGTGCAAAATCTACAGTAGAAAAATATGCTGGATATTTTAAAAGATTCGTTAAATGGGCTGAAAAATACTCTGAAATTAAATGTGTTTTACCCTGTCAAGAATTATATGTAGGTCTATATTTACAAAATTTAATGCAATCAGCTAATCATTATAGCGTTATAGAATCCGCTTTTTATGGAATTAAATGGGCACATAATCTTGCTGGGGTAGCTAATCCATGTGATTCTGAAATAGTTAGATTGATCGTAGAAGCATCAAGAAGAAAATTGAACAGACCTATAGAGAAAAAGAGTCCAGTTACTTCTGATATTATGATCAAATTATTTTCAAAGTACAATTCAGTTGGTCGTTCTCTTAAAGATTTACGGCTATTAACAATGTGTGCACTATCTTATACCGGATTTTTAAGGTATCAAGAACTTTGTAGTATAAAAGCAAAGCACATTTCATTTTGTAATCAATATATAGACATTTTTATTGAGAAGAGTAAAACAGACTGTTACAGGAAAGGCAGACATGTATTGATATCAAAGCTTGACACTCCACAATGTCCATGTACAATATTAGACTGCTATTTAAGAGAAGCAAATATTGATTTTTCTTCAGATATGTATATATTTAGACCTTTGTCATTTTTGAAGAAAACACAGAATTTTGTTCTTAGGAAGAAAAACTATAGTTTGTCGTATTACAGAGCGAGAGAATTGATTAAATGTGCATTATCAGAGATTGGTTGTAACTCTAAAGATTTTGGTCTGCATAGTTTTAGATCGGGTGGTGCCACAGCTGCCGCTCAAAACAATATTTCAGATAGGTTATTTAAAATACACGGTCGGTGGAAATCCGATCAAGCTAAAGACGGCTATGTATTAGAAAGTTTACAGAAGCGTTTGTCAGTATCTCAAAATCTTGGTATATGATATGTACTTAACGTCAAGTTTGCTTTCTTTGTGCGTCGAGATGGTCATTGCGCCTAACAGTACCTAAATATGTATTTAGTTTTCTATTATGCCTTTATCGTATAAAGGTACATATCTGAATGTGCTCAGATATGTATGCTATACAAAAATCTAGAGAGATTTAGCACATAAATACTTTATGTTCGTTTGAACACAGTGAATTTAGAACATAAATATATTTATGTGCGGTTCGCGTATGATTTTTGAAGTATGTAATTTATTCTTTTGTGTTTTCACAATAGTTGTAAACCGGTTTTGGCGGTCAGTATATAAAGAAACTTTGCACGAGATTTAATTATCGAGGTTTGGGCAGTGACCATTGTCGCAAGTTTCTTTTGTATTGAAGTCTAATTTTCATTAAGAATTCTGTTTTTTTTTTAATGTATTGAAGTTGTATGTAAAGAATTAATATGTTTTGTATATATTTTGTAGATGTTTGATTGCTGTCTTTTACCGGTATTGTTGATCAAATTGAGATTTTGTGATGTTTATAAAGGACTTTTTTCGTAGATGTGCATGGTTTCCTTATTCAAAACATAAACTGTTATTTATATTTGATAAAAAAATGTGATCTCTGGATCTTATTAAAATTGAGATGGTCATTGCGCCTAACAGTACCTAAATATGTATTTAGTTTTCTATTATGCCTTTATCGTATAAAGGTACATATCTGAATGTGCTCAGATATGTATGCTATACAAAAATCTAGAGAGATTTAGCACATAAATACTTTATGTTCGTTTGAACACAGTGAATTTAGAACATAAAGAATAAATTATCCATTGAGATCATCTTTCAACTATAGGCAACAGATTTCTCCAAAATAGTTAAAATTCATATGCAAGTTCAACTTACAATTGAGCACACGAAAATAATTTGAGAGATCACATGGTCTGCCCTTTTAAAGAGCTGTTAAAATGCAGAATCTAGAACTCTTCAATTAATTCTTTTTGAGAGCTATCCTATATGTTTTTTCCTGACAAGTCTCAAAGAACCTCACTAAGACTGAATATTGTTCTTTAAATAGTTTAAATACTTTTAGTGCAGAAATTATTTTAAATATCTATTAATGTGACAGTTTAACAGTAGACAATAAAGAGCTGCGCCATGAGTGCATGGTCACCTGTCGCTTTTTCCAAAAAAAAAGTTCCATTACTCCTCAATGTTAAATCAGAAATTTATAAAAAAAAAAAGGGAGGTTATTTAAATAGATATAAAACAGTCACCAAAGTTTCATGAAAACTTCTCAAAGCACTTTTTGAGTTAATGTATGAAAACTGGAAAATCCCCCTTTTTTATGAAGAAAAATCTCATAACTCAAGAACGTAAAAGTCTAAAATTTATAAAAATCAAAAGGGAGCTTACGTCAATAGATATAAACAATTCACCAAAGTCTCACAAAAACTGCTTGAAGCATTTTTTAGTTATTGTCCGAAAACTGGAAAATACCTCTTTTTTAGTGAATAAAACCCCAATAACTCGGAAATGTAAAATCGAAAATTTATAAATATCAAAAGGGAGCTCATGTCAATAGATATTAACAATTCACCAAAGTTTCATGCCAATTGGTTAAAGTATTTTTGAGTTAATGTTCACATGTTGACGACGGACGGACAACCAGTAAACCGGCCTATAAAAATGTGAGATTAACAATAAATGAAATTTCTGAAACTGCTGCCTAAAATAATGCTGATGAAATTGAAAATGCAGGTTCCAAATAATGTGAAACACAACCACTGGCATTGTTTTGCATGAAGATAAACATTGTAAGAATTTCAGATGAAATACTGATATCCTCTGTTGACCTTTTTGGGAGAAATCTTTCTGTACCGCCTTCTTTCCCATACCACAACAATGCCAAAATTGATGTAAAACTATTAAAGTGTTTTTACTTGCTAAGTATACAAACATCATTACAAGTAAGTAAGTAAGTGTTAATGTCTTGTACTTACCAAATGTAATTTGTCTTTATTTTCTATCAGTATCTGTTCTGTACATTTATATGCTCTGGCAATCAGACCTCGTGCTTCCTGAAATCATAGTGAATTATATAGACAGGAACTTAAGATTTGGGCACTTTAAATCAACACTTTATAACCTATCAACAAGACAAGGGAAGCAAATCACAAAAGCAAACAATGACAAATAATGACTGAAATTGGCTTATAAAGAACAAATAAAACTCAAAATGGTATCTATTCTTTTATTTGTTTTATAAAGAATTATGAACAGTTAAGACATCCAGTTTACAGTTAATTTGACTTCAGATTTTCATTCTCATATGTTTTCACATCTGCAATGAAATACGAATGTCTACATCAGCCATTTTCTTCAACCTGTACCCTTTGAATTTTTTACCCTTGCACTTGATCTTGCCTATCAATTGGTACCTTTCAGGATCCATTATTTTACTGCCAACTTTCTGACTGACTTGTGAGTAACAATGGTAGTACCTAAGTAGCACTGTCAGTGGCCAAAAGTCAGTGGCCAAAGTCACATTAAATAGTACAAACCTCATCAATAATGGCAGCTAATTTTTTACTGTATGGTTTGGTTCCAAATCCTCCATCCTCATCTGGGAAAGATAAGAGACCTACTCTTTCATTCATACCAAAAGATTTAATCTGTAGGTAAGCTATCTTAGATATCTTCTTTAAGTCATCCTCTGCGCCTGAAATGTATAATAGATTCATTAAACTCAGTCAATGTTATATATATATGGCGTTTTATGAAAAATACACATATAGCTTCAATACTTTTCTGAGCAGTTTAAGTTTCCGTGTATTAAAAAGGTCCAGCTATGAAAGAGTATATGTCCATTGACATGCAATCTTTATTCTCCTATTGGGAGACAGATTTATAAACGTTTTTCAAACTTAACTTCTGAATCCAATATTTGACTGCTATGTAAAATTGTACTGTGAAATTGTTATAATAATGAATACCGTTTAAACAAACAAAAAAACAAATAAAAAATCTTTACGTTAAAGGTCTCTTTTAAAGAAAAACTGTTGTTTTTATATAGGCTAAAAAAATTGTTTATTAGTTTATAGTACAGCATTATAAAACAAACTAAAGGAATGTGATGGGAGCCATTTCAGAGGGTCCTTAGTCCAAAAAATGGTCAAAGCCCCATAACTCAGGTGGACAGACGGACGGACAAGTGGACTACTATAGGCCTGCTGCTGACTATCTATGGGACTTATAATGAACTTCTTTGGCCAATTCAAAACTAGAATTGTGAGTGAACTCACAAAAGGATCCCCTCCAATACTATTAGTATACAGTCAACTCCACTTAATTTCATACAGGTTAATTGAATATTTCCATTAATTGCATAATTTTCTCCTGCACAAAACCATTTCCTATTCATCTAATGTTTAAAAAACCCAGGTATCTGCATAGCCTAACAAGTGGCCTTTTAGTTAATTTCATAGAAAATAATTGTCAGTTAGATATGCTTAGATAAAACTGATGAGTTTCCTTAACCAGAAACGGCAATTTGGTAAGTATATTTTTCTTGAATGCATTATTATTTTTGTTATTTTATATCCATTTTGTGTGTTGTTTGAAAAAAGTTTATAAAACAGTTTATTTCGTGTTTATATGATGCGATATTGATTTATTTCCCTCAATGTGTACAGGTAAATTTGTTTCCCTTGTTCTATTTTAAGCCTCGAGGTAATTAAAAGGTCAAACAGGTAATGGTTGTACAAACATTACCATTCTCTCTCAAAAGGTGTTAATTATGGTTTTGATTTTAAATATTGTCTAAAGATTATATTCAGAGTAAATTTTAAGAACAATGACTCTTATTAAATTTCAAAGACCATTTGATGTGTGCACACTCGTAATTCAGCTTGGGTTGAATTTATGTTTATGGCATTAAGGTAAGGTTTGCGTACACAGGGAGATAACTCAAATTCAAATAATTGAAAAAGGAGGGACCCGCCATTTTGAATTGCTTTGATAAACCAATGTTCGATAACTACAATATTATCGAAAATAAAACAACACCTACCTCAAAATTGCGATTTTTGATGTAATTTTATCAAAATTTGAATCGTACAAGTAACGTTATGATCTTCAGTTTGTTAGTTTTCATTTATATGACGTCACGTTTAGCCATAACGTCTTTGTGCAAAAACCATTCATGAAGTTTCGCGGAATTTTATCTTATTTCATAAATGTGCATTTTTATGTCCCCGCCGTAGCAAAGAGGGCATTGAATTTTATCCTTGTCTATTTGTACGTCCATCCGAATATACGAATCATAGTGTACGTCCGTTTTTACAAAATTGGTTTCCATTCTCTAACTTTAGTTTGCCTCAACCAACTGATATAAAACTTATGCACAATGTTTTTTACCACAAAAACACAGAATAAATATAAATTTTGATGTCGTCACTTTTTACAGTTCTAGATTTATGAGGGGTCAGACAGGGTATACCATTCTCCTTTCTTCCGTCCCCTCTCTCTTGTCTCCCGCCGTAAAACCTAAAAAAAACCTAATGTATGGGAAGCTCATTTCAATAGAAATCGATCTAATATCTTGTGTTTTTAAATTTATGGCTTGTCCCCGTCTTGTCCTTTCACAAGATAGACATGTTGTTTATTCTGCTTCAAGAAGTTGAACCCCGATAACTTTTTCATTGACTGTTAAGGTGTCTCTTTCATTGAATTTGTAATTCTGATGCACGCCGTTTCCAATTTTTTATAAAGTATAAATACAAATTATAGAAACGCAGGATTGAGTGAAAAACAGCACATTTTTGTGACACTTTTAGTCAATTTCGTTTAAAATGATTGGAATTTACATAATGCGTCAGGTGTTTTACTTGTTTTCTATGAGGATGCATATATACATTCCCAGAAATTATTATTGCATATTTTTTACGAATGACAGAATGTTGAACTTGGTCTTTTCAAATGTATAATTTGCAAGGTTTGTCTGCAAATACGCACACAACCCACACGTTTTAATACATCATGCGAAATAAATGTTATTTTATCAATCACTTTTACAACTGACGGAATGTTTCTAATAGTAATTTTTTGTATGGATGCATTAAAAATGTGTGTTTCAGACACAACTATTGTATTGTGTCGACCTGAACATGCCTGAAGTATTTGCCACCGGACATTTTACAACCTCTTATCAAACAAACTTCTATGCATATCAGTCAACTTTGAATCAATGTATCTAAAAACAAGGATGGCATGTGTCTCTACACGGACTCACTATAAATCCGGGAAATTGTTAGTTTTTAGTCTTTCTCCATATATAAGAGATCACAATGAAGTAGCGACGACGCTCGAAGTATTTGTATGAGGTCGTTTTCTGAATTTTTCGTTTCTGTTCTCTACCTTTAGTTTGCTTTAACCAAATGTTATAAAATTTAAACGTAATGCTTTATAATTTTTATGTTTATGCAAGAGGGGGCATCATCAGTGTCCCATGGACACATTCCCCATTTATTCCAAGCTATAACGTATTTTTTCTTTTTGTAATGCACTAGAATCGGAATTACATTACTGTGGATGAAGGGTAGCCACAATCAATTTTGATTTGACGGTCGCAAATTTCCCTTTTACTGTCTCCCCTACGCATCGACAGTAAAACTGCATTTGCGAACATCAAATTGCCAATTGGCGGTGGGGACTCCTCAACTACAGTGCCGTTACTCCTGTGAACTTCATTGAACTGATTTTAATTTTTAATTTATTGAAGGTATGTGTAAGATTTTCATATTACAGGTCTACATAACTACATTTCTTATTTTAAATATGAGCAATACATATACGGCTGGTCATTTGTATTCCCAGGCCATCGTCTGTTTCGTCTTTCATCGTGTATAGGAACATGTAGTTTGTTTGTTTGGTCAAAGACCCCAAATCTGAACATCATGTGTAACAATTGGACAAATCATACCAGTAATTTATCTTCCCCCTGCTTAGTCATAAATAGTTCATCATATTTGAATAATATTTGTTAATGTCTAAAACTTTGTGTGATTTAAATGAATGGAATAAACACGGCTGCTGTGAATGACTTTACTAGTCAACACTGATGTCTTTTCATCTAATTGCTGCATACAAACAATTTACCCACCATGGGACAATAAAGCAATTTTCATTACTTTAAATGGCAATTTGAATGCTTTCCTAATTCATTAATCTTTTGATGTTATCCCTAAGTTAATCACTGTTTTCTCTCATTGATTATGGTCAATCCCAAAGTGTTACAAGACAAAATGATTCTTTGTAAAAAGATGCTATTAAAGATGACTTTCTTATTTGCAGATCAACAAAAAAAATATTTTTGTGTTTTACAGAAATGACAAGATGAACACATAACGCCCATTTCCGTAAAAACGAGTTCGGGGACATATCAATTTCATTAGCTCATTATAATGCAAATAGTAAAATCTTTAGGTTCACAGTTTTTTACAAAAACGGTGGACCTGCAAAAGGGATATTTTTGGCTATTTGTTGCCATGGCAACAGGGTTTTTTTAACCAACAAATTAAAAAATCTTGTTTTTAGGAAATTTTTTATTATTTTTTTAATTAGAATTTATTATTAGTGATTGGACTACAATTATTTATACATGTTTTATTCAGTTTTATTTGGTTATAGTCACTCCCATACATTATTATTTCAGAAGAATTCAAATACAATTTTCCCTAAAAATCGTCAAAAATCGGAATTGTGAGCTTTTCACCTGAAAAAATGGGACGGGCGATGTTCGATTTTTTTTCATTAAATGATTGGGTACTCCTCCCTGAACAAAATGATGTATCATATTGGTATAATATCACTAAGAAAAGAGTCCAGGTTTCATGCAAACCTTACCTTAATATATGGCTGATGATTTTTATACGTCAAACATTTATTTTTTGTAATTGTTGAAAGTGTATTGACTCCTAATTCTTATATTTTCTCATGTTCAACACTCGCATCAAGCAAATAACCTGTAACCCTTTACTATTTTGCATATAGCGAAACTATTCTGAATGTATAAATGAGTTTCAACGAGTATTTGAAATTTATAGTATCATATAATGAAACTACTTTTATATCTAAATATTCATTTTTGATTTTTCATAATTAGCAAATATTTTTAATTTGAAAAGGATTAAAGTGTCTCATATGTCTATAAAGACAGGGATATAATATTATTTTAAAGAATTTTATATTATGTATAATAATGTATATTATATTACGACACTATAATTAACTATTTACTTACTTACTTTTATAAAATATGATATCTAATTATTGTTTACAATTTACATAAAATCTGTGAACTGAATGTATCAAAATGATTCTACATATAACATATACCTGTAGTTACTTTGTTAAATATCAAAGATTCCGCCACCCTTCCTCCTAAACCCACACATATCTGTTCAAACAACTGAAATAGAAGTCATCCTTCATCAAAATAGCTTAATGAAATTTTATCAGTTATATATATTAAATTGTTATCTTCTATGGATATACCATTAATTTAGTTCTAATCATAGTAAGGATTTAATCAGTGGTTCTCTTTTGTTATCTCTCAATATGACATATTTTTAGACACCTGTCTATTGTTGAAGATTGTAACTGTAAGTTGACATTCAGGTGTCTTTTAGTTTTTAGTGTCTTTAGGTTGCTGTCTTAATGATAAACTGTCAACCAAATAATTTTCCTTAGCCATAAGTTTATTTATTATATCTTAATTAAACCAAAAAATTAACCATCGAAACATAAATCTTCTCTTGTAAGAATACAATAAGTAAGAAAATTAAAACTGACTGAAATGGTCTAAACGCAATAAAAATTATCTGTGAAAGCAAGTTGGTTTACAGTATATATATCTTACATCTCCTTTGATTCATATTATAGAATGACATAGTAATAAATGTAATATATCTTACATACCATTTCTTTAGATATGAGTTTTCTGTCCTGTGGTGAATATCTAGCAAAGCCAAGTACATTACTTGTCCTTGGAATAATCGAAATCTGAAACACATAAAATATGACAACAATAATGTGTTATTACTATTTATCACTTCTCTGTTAAGGGCTATTCCATTTAAATGTATGTGGGAGGGAAGGAAGTGAAGTTTTATTATTGAATGTGGGTCATGGGTCTTTTTTCAGTATGGTTGTATTACCATTATGCAAAATTATCTAAAAAATGGTTCTTCGTTGTAGGGATATTTTGAAAGTCCCTTCCTACCCTCCCACATACATTTTAATGGAATAGCCAAAAACACTCTAGGACAATAAAAGGGATGATACAGCAAATAACAGAATATGTTTTCTATGGTATGGTATGTATTGTCTTCTTAATTTAATCACCATTTCCATTATTATTTTTATTCTCCTATTACAATACAGACTTGTAAGTCTATTTATGTAGCTTGCAATATGAGTGAATTACATCTGACCCCTTCCTTAATGTTTGAAATGAAAGAATGCAAAATGTATGATGGAAAAATCTCAGGTAAGAATTTTCTTTCTGAGGTTACCAATTTTTTTTTAACTTGATAACAAGCTTAAGACTACTGATTTTTTTTAACCTGATAACAAGACTATTGAATTTTTTTAACCTGATAACAAGACTATTGATTCTTTTTAACTTGATAACAAGACTATTGATTTTTTTATCTTGATAACAAGACACAATAAAATGCTTCACTGAGCGCAGCTGGATATGACCGCAGAGGTCCAACCCTGAACAGTTGGGGCAAAAATAGACACAATATTCGCGCTTGATACAGGTCTGAATTTGGATTGTAAATAAATATTTGACACATAATAGGTTTCTGACACCGAATAACTGTAGTCAAAGAATTTAGAATTGGTTATATGATTTGAATTTATATTCAATTTTTTGCTTTTGTGCAATACACTATGCTGTTGCTAAATTGAACCCCCCCCCAAAAAAAAAAAAATTACCCCCCTTTTTTTTTGCTTTTGTGAAATACACTATGCTGTTACGTATTGACCCCCCCCACCCCCCCCAAAAAAAAAAAAAAAAAAATTTTAACCCCCCCTCCCTTTTTTTTGCAAAAAGAAATAATATTTGAAGAAATTTTCTTTTTAATTACTGAAATCTGAAATGAAAAAAATAAAAAATTGCCCCACAATTTCTTTTTTACCCCCCTCCCCCCTAAATTTTTTTTTTCACCTCCCCCCTTTTCCAAAAAAAATTCTTTCCCTCAAGATATGGTCATAATCTCAATTCAAATTTCCAATGGAGTTTGCAACCATAATTACCAATTTAAATACATCATAAAAAAAAATCCCCCCCCCCCAAATTTTTAGACCCCTTTATGATTCATCACCCCGAAAACTCAATCCACGCCTTCCCTTTGTGGTATGGTACCTTGCAGTACAATTTCAAAGAGATCCATACACTTGAACACAAGTTATTGTCTGGAAACTAGAAAAATGCTTGTAAATTTTTGGCCCCAAATTCCTTAACTTTAAGGGCAATTACCCCCACACTCAAACCCAGTTTTCCCTTTGTGATATGGAACCTTGTAGTACAATTTCATAGAGATCCATACACTTACACACAAGTTATTGTCCTGAAACTAGAAAAATGCTTGTTTTTTGCCCCTTTTTGGTCCCTAATTCCTAAAATTTTGAGGCAATTACCCCCAAAATCCATCCCAGCCTTCCCTTTGTGGTATGGTACCTTGCAGTACAATTTCAGAGAGATCCATACACTTGAACACAAGTTATTGTCTGGAAGTTACAAAAATGCTTATTTTTGGCCCCTTTTAGGCCCCTTATTCCTAAACGTTTTGGGCAATTACCCCCACACTCAATTCCAGCTTTCCCTTTGTGATATGAAACCTTGTAGTACAATTTTAGAAAGATCCATACACTTCCACACAAGTTATTGTCATGAAACTAGAAAAATGCTTGTTTTTTTCCCCTTTTTTGGCCCCTAATTCCTAAAATTTCAAGGCAATTACCCCCAAAATCAATCCCAGCATTCCCTTTGTGATATGGAACCTTGTTGTACAATGTCAGAGAGATCCCTACACTAACACACAAGTTATTGTCTGGAAGTTACAAAAATGCTTATTTTTTGCCCCTTTTTGGCCCCTAATTCCTTAACTGTTGGTACCATAACCCCAAAAATCAATCCCAACCTTCCTTTTGTGGTATTGAACCTTATGGTAAAATTTCATAGAGATCCATTTACTTAAACTAAAGTTATTCGGACGAAGACAACGACGACTAGGCCAAACGTCATACCAATATACGACCGCAAAAAAATAAAAATATTAATTATTTTTTTAACTAGATAACAAGAATATTGAATTTCAACTTGATAACAAGACTATTAAATTTTTTAAATCTTGATAACAAGAAATTGAATATTTTTTAAACTTGATAACAAGATTATTGAATTTTTTTAACTTGATAACAAGACTATTGTTTTTTTTCAAAATGATATTAAGACTATTGTGAAAGAAAAAAATTCTTAACATATGTGTTTCATACATCTAAAAGTAATGGGTAAAACAATAAAAATTTAGTCATTGAAGGCAGTAAATTTCTCTTTAAACTTGAGAAGTCAGAAATGGATGTAGGATAAATGATAAGAACAAGAATATCAAACTGATGTGACATGAAATCCTGAACAGGTCAGCCAAAAAACGTTTCCTCTGCTGATACCTATATTTAGCCCAATATGAAAAGTTGAATACGTAAACGGTACATGTAATATCAAACTTATACAGCATTTGTATTTTACATTTTGAACCTTAGCATAAATGGCACGAAGAAATGTTGCCATGGCACTCACCTTTAGTACAGCATCTGTATGTTCCAACATCCAACCTACTAAAGCATGACCAGACTCATGGTATGCTGTAATTTTCTTCTCCGCTGGGCTCAATACTGATGATTTTTTTGCTACACCTATAGGATAAAAGACACAAAAGTTTAAAATAAATCTGTATACAAATGTCAATTCATGTATACATCATATTATGGGGTTCAAGTAACATTAAAATAAATAGGTCTATGTTTACCATCTATATTTGAGATATTTTGCTCACAATGAAATCAACATTGGAACGCTCTTTAAAAAAGCTTTTTCTGAAGAATCTGTTCATTATAAAAAAAAAAATTTCTCAATTATTTTCACTTATTCAATCCTTGATCATCAACTATTTTCTTCAAATCTCAACCTCTGTTGTGGGTTTTGGCTATTAAGGAATCCTACCAAGAAGTTTCACAGGTCATGCATAGCATACCTCCACTCGTAATTCAAAGTATCAGAAAACAGGAAATAGGTATCTGACATATCTGAAAATTGCTCAGACAACAACTCATCAATCACCAAACTGCTGACTAAATATTAAGTAATTCTGTTCAGTACTTTTAGAGAAAAGGGTTACAAAATTTTTTAAGTATATCAAACATATAAAAAATTCAAAGTATCGGCATTCAGGAAGAAGGTGTCTGACAGATCTGAAAAGTGCTCACATGTTACAACTCATCACTATATAACTACTGATCAAGTAATATTATTTCGCAGGTACTACAAAACAAGATGATTACCTATTATGAAATCATCTTGTTTTGTACTACCTGATCATGAGAAATAATGTGTGGCCGAAATAATTGTTGAACAAACTGACAGACAGATGGACATAGTGAATGGAATATATCCTCACTCCTAGAGCAGGGGTATTATAAAATATAAATAAGTGGAGAATGTGTCCCCATGGACACAGATGATGCCCCCACTTGCATACAACATTATAAAGGGACATAACTTAAGAACAATAAAAGTGACGCTACCCAAATTTGTACTTGATCTGAGTTTTGTGGCAATAAGTATTGTGTAAAGGTTTCATAATGTTTATTTGGGGCAAACTGAAGTAACAGAACGAAAACTAAAAATTTTGTAATTTTTCGATTTATAAAGTGGTATAACTCGATAATGATTAAATTGACCCCACCAAAATTCAACTTGATCTGTGTTTTGTGGTAAAAAGCATTGTGTATAAGTTTCATAACATTTGGTTGAGGCAACTTAAGTTAGAGAACGGAAACTAAAAATTTTGCATTTTTTTCCATTTATAAAGGGGCATAACTCAAGAATAGTTAAAGAGACCCCACCAAAATTCAAACTTGATCTTTATTTTGTGGTAATAAGCATTGTGTATAAGTTTCATAACATTTGGTTGAGGCAAACTTAAGTTGGAGAACAGAAACTAAAAAATTTTGTAATTTTTCCCTTGATAAAGGGGCATAACTCTAGAACGGTTAAAGTTATACCACTAAAATTCAAACTTGATCTGTGTTTAGTGGTAATAAGCATTGTGTATAAGTTTCATAACATTTAGTTGAGGCAAACTTAAGTTAGAGAAAGGAAACTAAATTTTTTTATAATTTTTCCATTTATAAAGGGGCATAACTCTAGAACAGTTAGAGTGACGCTACCAAAATTCAAACTTGATCTGTTTTTTGTGGTAATAAGCATTGTGTATAAGTTTCATTACATTTGGTTGAGGCAAACTCAAGTTAGAGAACGGAAACCAATTTTGGGACGTATGAACAGACGGACAAGGGTAAAACATAATGCCCCCTCCGCTATGGCAGGGGCATAAAAATTGTGAATGTAACAGTAATACATGACAAATCTAACTAATATATAGATATAAGAAGATGTGGTATGAGTACCAATGAGACAACTCTCCATCCAAGTAAAAATTTATAAAAGTAAACCATTATAGGTCACAGTACGGTCTTCAACACGGAGCCTTGGCTCACACCGAACAGTAAGCTATAAAGGGCCCCAAAAAATTACTAGTGTAAAACCATTCAAACGGGAAAACCAACGGTCTAATCTATATAAAAAACGAGAAACAAGAAACACTTATGAACCACATCAACAAACGACAACTACTGAACATCAGATTCCTGACTTAGGACAGGTGCAAACAAATGCGGCGGGTTTAAACGTTTTAATGGTACCAAACCTTCACCCTTTTTCTGAAACAATAGTGTAACATCACAACATAGAAAGACACACTATAAAATATCAACTGAAATAGCTTAACTCAATCAAAGGACATATAAACACCATTGAACATACACTGAACAAATAAATTTGACCTATGACACAATGTAAATACAAAATAAATAAACTAAGGGAAGAATAACAAAAAGTAACATGTTATATCGGTAAGAAATGTTAAACAATTAAAGAAAAACAATATGCTCGAACAAAAATACCATCCATTTGCAATAACTTTAAACACAGGTAAATGAAAATAATTTTGTTGTTAGGTATACCTGTACAGTACCAATAGAGAAAGGAAATATTTTTACAAAATAAATAATTTTGAATACAAAATAAATGAACTAAGGGAAGAATAATAAAAGTAACATGTTATATCGGTAAGAAATGTTAAACAATTAAAGAAAAACAATATGCTCGAACAAAAATACCATCCATTTGCAATATATTTAAACACAGGTAAATGAAAATAATTTTGTTGTCAGGTATACGTGTACAGTACCAATAGAGAAAGGAAATATCATTACAAAATAAATAATTTTGATGTTCATAGTACGAAGTGAAAATTTATAGTTATACCAAACACTTATAAAAGCTGGTATATAGACCAGATATAACCCTGAATAACATTAAATAACAAAAAAGCAATACAGTTAGTATCAACAGGTCAAATAAACAAGAAAGTACGATTTGAGAGTACTCGCAGTTACTGACAGCTAGTTAAAAGCCAAAACAATTAATAATAAAAAATCATGCATCAGAGACTAAATTCAACTAAAACACATCCCAGGGATTTAGTATTTTAACGTCATGGACAGTCAAAGAAGACATGACTAGTGCAATGCCAAAAATAAATGTATCGACAGACAGTAGGATAGTTAGTTTAACCTCTTGATAGATCTGAATGAAAGTGGGTGTGTCTTTATACATCCCACTTGAAAAAAAAACAAATTTAGTTATGTTTTAATTTGCTGATGACAAAATCAATATTAGTGCCAATGTAAACTATATTCAAAGATCTAATTACAACATTGGTAAGATAACCTTTACTAATAAGCCTGTTTATAGGTTCGATGAGTTTACACGGATCACATAGTGATTTCCGCGCTTTAAGTACAATATTACCGTAAAATTTAGAATGTGAAATACCGTTTTTAATCAGTTTTCTACAAGTACAGCCAAATTTACTAATCAAATCTTTGTATCTATGAAAGAACTTAGCAAAAGTTTTACGTAATTTATGGTAACGAAATCCTTGATTTAATAATTTACCAGTGATGCATTGATTACGTTCGTTAAAATCTATGACATCACTACACACACGGGCATAACGAACGAGTTGGGATATATATACACCGTATGATGGAGCCAAAGGAACATCGCCGTCTTAAAAAAAGGAAAATTAACAATAGGGAATGAAAAATCGTCTCTTTTGTCGTAAATTTTCGTATACACATTCTTATGTCAACTTCTGGTAAAATACTATTTCCAGTGTACTAGAGATTTGATACATACTTTAAACCTACATTCTTGTCTTTTTTCATTATCAGGTGATCATATATGGCATGAGTGCAGATTTACAACTTTTCTGAATGAACATTGTGCCAGCAGTGTTAAATGATGCAATATTTTCTAGGAATTCAATTGCAAAAGTCTTGAATGACATAAGGTAAATGGGCAGTAGATTTGGCAGAAAACTTGCACAACTACACATGATTATGATTAATTACCTGATATAACCCTTTCTACAGCATAATCAAAATCTGATACTTCAATTGATTTCTTCTTTTCTCTGGCTGCATGTAAAGCTGCTTCATTACAGATGTTAGCAATGTCAGCTCCTGTTTATCAAAAATGATTTTTATATAGAAAATCAAGATATACAGATATGTGATATAATTTGAAGAAAAACAGGAAACATCTTAGCTAAAAGAAAATCTATAAAAAGACAACAATATTCCAAAATAAACTGCTTCGCTGATCGCAGCTGGATACGCCTGCAGAGGTCCAACCCTGAACAGTTGGGGCAAAAATGGACACAATATTCAAGCTTGATACAGGTCTGAATTTGGATTGTAATTAAATACTTGACATATTATAGATTTCTGAATAAATGTAGTCAAAGAACTTGAAATTGGTTATAGGAATTGAATTTATATTTAATTAAAGATTTCTTCTTGTTGTTCAATATACTGTGCTGTTGCTCAATACTTAGTAAATCTGTTGTCAGACTATAAACAAATAAAGTTCAATAACTTCTCAATGTTATATCAGAAATGTATAAAAAACTAAAGGCAGGTTATCTTAATAGATATATATCAGTCATCAAAGTTTAATGAAAACTGCTCTAAGCACTTTAAGGATATTATCCAATAAACTGCTTCGCTGAGTGCAGCTGGATACGCCTGCAGAGGTCCAACCCTGAACAGTTGGGGCAAAAATGGACACAATATTCAAGCTTGATACAGGTCTGAATTTGGATTGTAATAAAATATTTGACATATTATAGGTTTCTGAATAAATGTGGTCAAAGAACTTGAAATTGGATATAAATTCAATTAAAGATTTCTTGCTGTTGTGCAATACTTAGTAAATCTGTTGTCAGACTATAAACAAATAAAGTTAAATTTCTTCTCAATAATGTCATATTTGAAATTTATGAAAATCAATAGGGAGATTACATCAATAGCTATAAATAATTCATCAAAGTTTCATGAGAACTGCTGAAAGCATTTTTGAGTTATTTTCCAAAAACTGGAAAATCCCCCCTTTTATAATGAATAAAACCCCATAACTCAGAAATGTAAAATCTAAAATTTATAAAATTCTAAAGGGAGCTTACATCAACAGATATAAATAATTCACCAAAGTTTCATGAGAACTGCTAAAATCATTTTTTAGTTATTGTCCGAAAACTGGAAAATCCCCCTTTTATAATGAATAAAACCCTGTAACTCAGAAACGTAAAATCTAAAATTTATAAAAATTGAAAGGGAGCTCATGTCAATAGATATTAACAATTCACCAAAATTCCTTGCAAGTTGGTGAAAGCATTCTTGAGTTATTGTCGGAAAACTGGAAAATCCCCCCTTTTTTAATGAATAAAACCCCAAAACTCGGAAACGGTAAATCTGAAATTTATAAAAATGAAAGGGAGCTCACGTCAATAGATATAAACAATTCACAAAAGTTTCATGCATATAGGTTAAAGTTTTTTGAGTTAATGTCCGACATGTTGACGACAAACGGACGGACAATGGTATACCATAATACGTCCCGTAAACGGGCATATAAAAACTTGAAAATCACCCCTTTTTTTATGAATAAAAATCTTATAACTCGGAAATGTAAAATCTAAAATTTATAAAAATCAAAAGGGAGCTTACAACAATAAACAATTTACCAAAGTTTCATTAAAAATGCTGAAAGCATTTTTGAGTTCTTGTCTGAAAACTGGAAAATCCCCTTTTTGTAATGAATAAAACCCCATCCATTGTAAACTTATAATCTAAAATTTATAAAAATCAAAACGGAGCTCATGTTGATAGAAATAAACAATTCACTAAAGTTTCTTGCAAATTGGTGAAATTGTTTTTGAGTTATTGTCTGAAAACTGGAAAATCACCCCTTTTTTAATGAATAAAACCCCAAAACTCGGAGACGGTAAATCTGAAATTTAAAAAAAATGAAAGGGAGCTCCCGTCAATAGATATAAACAATTGACCAAAGTTTCATGCATATTGGTTAAAGTATTTTTGAGTTAATGTCCGAAAACTGGAAAATCCTCCTTTTTTAATTGAAAAAAAACCCAATACTAGGAAACTGAAAATCTAAAATTTATAAAAAATGAAAGGGAGCTCAGGTCAACAGATATAAACATTTATATAAAACATTTAAGTTTCATGCAAATTGGTTAAAGCATTTTTGAGTTATTGTCCGACATGTTGACGACGGACAGACAGACAGACAATGGTATACAATAATACGTCCCGTAAACGGGCGTATAAAAACAATTCACAGAAAACTTATGATTGAGCAATACAATCCCCTCCCCTACCAAAAAAATAAATATGGACTTAACACAAGTGCTCTGGAAGAGTCAGCATACTTTCTCCACTAGTGACATCTGACATGTTACTCCTATTAAAACTATGACCAATATCCATAAAGACTTCCATTCAACAACATCATAGTAATGTAACATTTGTTATGTTTTTTTAATTTTGGTTCATTTATATGTTTTGGAGTTTAGTGTGACGTCCATTTTCTCTGAACCAGTATACATTTTTGTTTAGGGGCCAGCTAAAATTTTGACTCTGGGTGGGGGATTTTCTTGCTGTGTTAATGACCCATTGGTGGCTTTGAGCTGTTTTCTGCTCTTTGGTCGAGTTGTTGTCTCTTTGACACATTCCCCGTTTCCATTCTCAATTTTATTTTTATCATCATTCCATATTTATTTTAGACAATTAAAAATTGTGACCAATAATGATATTGTACATCTTTTAAATTTTTTTTCTATAAATGAAAGATTTAAATAAGCCCCATACTATTCTCACTTACACTTTAACAGGGAACATGGCTTTCTATGGAAGGAACACTGACTTAAGAATGTGAATATGAAGTTTTCTTCAAGTACATTTTTTTGGTGATCTATTATAACATGTATAATAGTTATTCTAATTTCTAACATGTTCAAAAAACAATTACTGAAGTATTATGTAAGGTAAGTACACATGAATAACAGATCTCTAGTGAACTCACCAGTCATTCGAGGGGTCAATTGAGCAAGTTTGTATGCCATAGATTCTTCTGAGGACTCTGACAGTTTAAGATTATTCAAATATATATCAAACATTTCCTTCCTTTCAATTAGTGTAGGAAAATCTATTAAAATCTGTCTATCAAATCTGCCTGGTCGTAGTAAAGCCTAAATATAAAAAAAAATGTAGTCTGTCAAACAAGTTTCTATTTGACCTACAAAACAAACTATAAAAATTCATTAATTTTCAAATCCCATTCTATTTTGTTCTCTTCAACAAGCATAAATCAAAATAATAAGCATTTATGAACTATTGTTATATGATTATGTGAACAGCATAAAAGTGTATTTTTTTCTCTTTTTAGGCTTTCTTTTCAATCTCATTTTGAATTGAAATTTCAGATTCATTGACACATGCATATATAGAGTGGGTGGCGCATATTCGCCGTGGACACATTTTCGCCGTTTTTGCTATTTTTTCTGTAAATTTCGTGTGCCTTAACCCAATACTTGCCTAAAAAGATGCTAAATGCTGTTTGTAATGTTCGAACTGTTGATATTCCTCTTTACCCTATTTCCAATGTTATTCGCACATATAAAGAAATACGCTGGTGTTTTTGAACGATTTTGGCAATTATGTAAGATTTATATGGCACGCATGCGCAGTCATAAAGTAAATATCTGTTAGAAAAATCGTATAGGATTGATCTCTCAAGCTAATTCATGCAATTGCAAACAATTGTTTTCATAATATACAAGGATAATGAGGATGGTCATATCATACATTGCGCGAAAATGTGTCCCCCATGGTACAAGAACAACTTGATTTCCTCTTGAGTTTGCGTTCATTTTTAAAACATTTAACCAATGTTTTGAAGAGAATTCCTTTATCAAACATTTTTTTCATATAGTAAACTTTCTGAAACCTACATAAAAAGTTTCAAATATTCGAATGTAGGTCGGATGTAGGTGGAAATGAACGAATTTTGTGGCGAATATTCGCCACCCACTCTACTATAACTTGTCAAAACAGATTTGTCATTCCTTATGTATAACCTTCTGGAGTCCCTTATGTATAACTTTCTGGAGTAATGAATAATTAAGTTACACCAAACATTCTTTAGGGAAATAAAAATAAATTGTAAACTGTATCTAAATGTTGACATTAAAAAAAGGTAAGTCCATCAGAAATTATGAGAAAATGAAAAAAAAAATTCAGTGTTTTGCTATGGATATATCATAAAAAAGCTTCTGTCCAAATTTCATAAAAATTCCATAGAGGTTTGACAAACTAAATGATGTCTAACAAGGACCATAACTCTGCACAAAATCATCAGACCGGAACAAAATTCGAACTTGATCTGTAACTTGTCATGATAAAACAATATACCAAATATCAAATTAATATCTTCAAGCACGAAGAAAAAGGTGTGGAAAACTGATTTGCCGGACTGACGGATGGACAGACAGACAGACAGACAGACAGACAGACAGACAGAAAGACAGACGGATGGAGTGCAAACCTAAAGTCCCCTTAGACTTCGTCGGTAGGAGACTAAAAATAACTTTGACCATACTGAACCTAAATAGTGACATGGACAGAATGTAGATCGCTATGTCTTGTTTTTACTACATAAATGTTGCAAGCGTGACAAAAATAGGAGAAATAGTCTACCTTGTCTAATACATCAGATCGATTTGTGGATGCCAACATAATTATTCCCTCAACAGTTCCCATGCCATCCATTTCCACTAACAGCTGATTTAGTGTATGTTCTTCCTCAGAGTCACCTCCTTCAGATGATCTGAAAGGGGGATAATCGTGTCTGTAAATTACTCAATTCAAAATATTACCACATTCAAAATAAAAATTATTTTAGTTGATATTACAATACTTATTTGAAAATCAATTTTGGTAAACCTAATTACGATATTATTTATGACTCAAAATGATTTTGTCAAAAAACCAAAGGACCATCGTAATGGCGTTTGGAGGCTATTTGTGATTAAATAAACTGAGTTTGAATATACATGTACAAGCTGAGGTTAGTGTAATCAATTCACGGAATAATATACAAGCTGGGTATTATTTATCAAAGCAAGACATATGCATTTATGAATTAATAAAGTAATTTTCCTTTCCCCACAAAAAAAAAAATGGTTTGATGCAATGAAAAGCAATCGTAATTTTTTTATAAATTATAGTTTTTTTAAACTAATTGTATAATTTACTTCTGTTCTTAAAGGGCATACAATATTAATTGTTAATTGAAAGGGAAATAACTTACCACAAACTTAATTTTAGAGCCTAATTCAGGCTTTTGGAATTGACCTCGGGGAAAGGGCTTCAAGATTCAATTTCATTTTACATTTATCAAAAACAAAAAAGAAATTAAGAATAAATATAGAGTTGGCAGTTTACAACAGATTTTTTGTCCCAATGTTCAGCAGATTGGACAACACTTTTGTAAACAAACATATTTAAAAACCATACATATGCTTATAATTGCTTACATCCACTTCATCTGAACTTTGGTGGATAAATGTTACTATTGGCAATCGTACCACATCTCCTTACTTTTATACAGTACGTTTAATCCTAGTTAGTTCTTCCCAATGTATTTAAAAATCAAGTCTGGACAACTTAAAAGTATTAATTTGTATGTCCTTACCCTCCTCTTTTACGTCCTATAGCATCTATTTCATCTATGTATATACAACATGGCGCTGATTTCTTGGCTTCTTGAAACAAATCGCGCACTCTTGATGCACCAAGCCCTACAAATATAAATTTACTTTTTAAGAAAAGTTCTCTAAAAAAAATCAAAGCAGAATATTGTTGAATGGATTGATTGATAGAATGAAACTTAACTGTTAGTGCATCCTTTTAAGTGCAGAATGTCAGCTGTGGTCAGTTTATAACATAACCATCATTATTTCAAGAACAAACTGATTAGAAAATAAACATCTTAACATAACAGTGTGTTTCCAAACATTGACGACCACATTTTGTACTCACCTCCAATCATTTCCACAAATTCTGACCCAGCCATTGCTAAAAAAGGTACTCCTGCTTCAGAAGCCAAAGCCTTGGCTAACAATGTCTTCCCACACCCTGGTGGTCCAAGCAATAATGCTCCCTTTGGAAGTTTAGCTCCCAGTGCCTGCAAAATAAAGTAATACTCTTAGAAAATTTAAATAATATCAATCAATCTTTTTCTTATGTCTATATGAGGTTTACAAAACCATTTGGTAAAATTCCCATAAATATCTGAAAAATATTATGTTCCAACACTTTTCCCGTTGAGACCTACAGTGAACTGAAAAGGAACTAAATACCAGCTATTAATTTTTTATTACTTTAAAGACTATAGCAGTATAGTGGATAGACAGAAAAGAAAAACATGTTTGTATTAACGAGTTTGGGGTAATAACAGCAGCTCAAGAATATGGTTTCCACACCTCTGGGTTTTGGAATATTTACCCATATTGGATAAAAACCTCAAAATGTCCTTTACTTACAAGCAGTCAATTCGTGATAACAAGGCCAGACATTTGACCTCAAAATTAAACAAACCAAGCTTAAGTCAGATAAAGAATGATTGAAAAAGTATTAGTGAAAAGTTTTTCTGTAATGATATGTTAATGAACACCTGACATTCAAATTTTAGACTGAATCTGTTATTAATTTATGCTTTCACCATACCAAATTGCACATGTTTTATTACGTTTCATTAGACTATTGTCCACAGTAATTCCTTATTTATATTAGTTCCAAATGGGAAAATATTTTAGAATAAAAGCATCGTCTATGTTTCCAAAGGAATTTCTGTTAGGAGGAACAAGTATATGTTGACATACATGTATACATGAACACACATAAAAGGGAATGTCACAAAGTCTAGTCTATAATTTTGTAAAAAAGGAAAAAAGACAAACCTTGTATTTTTTGGGATCTTTTAAATAGTCTATAAACTCCATAACTTCTACTTTTGCTTCATGCAGTCCAGCCACATCTTTAAAGGTAATTTTTCTGTCTGCAGCATCTTTTGGGTCTACTCTTGTAAATTTTGCTTTTCGTACACTATCCTGCATAGAATCAAAGAACACAGATTACAGGAAACCTGTGTCATACAAATTTCATAATAAATTATAATATACTATTATGAATATTAAATACTTTATTGAAGTCTATTCTTAAATCATTTTACTATATTCATTATACAAATGTATTAATAATGCAAAAGTACTACATTATTGTATGACATTCTTTAAATGAAAAAAAAAACATTCTTTACTATGTGTCAACATGCTATCATAAATTGCTACCATATTTCTTATTATTGACAGAAAACCTGTACGAGTACATGCATACAATAAAATGCTCCGCTGGGCGCAGCTTGATACGACCGCAGAGGTCAAACCCTGAACAGTTGGGGCAAGTATGGACACAACATTCAAGCTTGATACAGCACTGAATTTGGATTGTAATTAAATATTTGACACAGCATAGGTTTCTGACACAGAATGAATGTGGTCTAAGAACTTAAAATTTTTTAATTTACCTATTCAAACCATATCATTATTATTTACTTTTATATATAAATCAGAAATAACCAATTTAAAATGAAAAATTTTAAAGAAAAAAAAGGGAAAAAAAATCCCCCACAAAATTTTTGAACCCCCTTATGATTCATTACCCCCAAACTCAATCCCAGCCTTCCCTTTGTGGTATGGTCCCTTGCAGTACAATTTCAGAGAGATCCATACACTTGAACACAAGTTATTGCCTGGAAACTAGAAAAATGCTTGTTTTTTGGCCCCTTTTTGGTCCCAAATTCCTAAACATTTAGGGCAATTACCCCCAAACTCAAACCCAGCTTTCCCTTTGTGATGTGGAACCTTGTAGTACAATTTCATAAAGATCAATACACTTACACACAAGTTATTGTCCTGCAACTAGAAAAATGCTTGTTTTTTTGCCCCTTTTTTGCCCCTAATTCCTAAAATTTTGAGGCAATTACCCCCAAAATCAATCCCAGCCTTTCCTTTGTGGTATGGTACCTTGCAGTACAATTTCAGAGTGATCCATACATTTGAACACAAGTTGTTGTCTGGAAACTAGAAAAATGCTTATTTTTGGCCCCTTTTTGGCCCCTTTTTCCTAAACGTTTTGGGCAATTACCCCCAAACTCAATTCCAGCTTTACCTTTGTGATATGGAACCTTGTAGTACAATTTCATAAAGATCCATACACTAACACACAAGTTATTGTCATGAAACTAGAAAAATGCTTGTTTTTTGCCCCTTTTTTGGCCCCTAATTCCTAAAATTTGGAGGCAATTACCCCCAAAATCAATCCAAGCATTCCCTTTGTGATACGGGACCTTGTGGTACAATGTCAGAGAGATCCATACACTAACACACAAGTTATGTCTGAAAGTTACAAAAATGCTTATTTCAGGCCCCTTTTTGGCCCCTAATTCCTTAACTGTTGGTACCATAACCCCTAAAATCAATCCCAACCTTCCTTTTGTGGTATTGAACCTTATGGTAAAATTTCATAGAGATCCATTCACTTAAACTAAACTTAAAGTGCAAAAACCAATGTGTCTTTGGACGACGACGACAACGCCGGACGACGACGACGCCAACGTCATACCAATATACGACCACAAAAATTTTTTTGCAGTCGTATAAAAACAGGTTTAATACAAGACAATGCACTATTGCATAAGGTAAGGCTTTTTCAGACAGCTTATGTGTCTTTACACTTATAGCTATTAAAGGTGTACTGACTGATATTTCAGTCTGGGAAATATGGTTTATTTATGAATTGAAAGTGAGCTTTGATTGAACGAGCTTTTTTCATTAACGATGAGTACTCTTTGATCAGTATTTAGTGTCTAATGTCATTTTTATTGCTTAAAGAATTTTGAAGACTCAATCCATTACCTTCTGGTATTTATTCTATTTGAATGTTGTGCTGTTACACTACTAATCCAGATTATTGGGAGGGTTGAGCACTAGCAAACATGTGTAACACTGCCACATTCTCTAAGTGCCTGTCCCTAGCCAGAAGCCTGTGGTACTCGAATTGTAGTTGGCTGTAGTCTACGATTACTATTTTTCATTTAATGTTAAAAGCTTTTTTCACACAGTGTTATACTCTATTCAATTGTTTCACATTTTGTTATTTTGGGGCCTTTTATAGCTTAATATACAGTAAGGGTTTTGCTCATTGTTAAAGGTTGTACAATTTCCTATTTTTATCCTTGTCCTTTGGACTTTGTTAGATAGTTATCTTATTAGGAATCATATCATATCTCTTTGTTTCCATACTAATGACAGGTCATGACAGAGTTAGCATTCTTCATAGACAGTCATAACATAGCCAAACTAATGAAGAACTATAAACAAGGAATTATTGGAATCTGGAATAATTTTGAATTTTGGAAAATTGATAAGAAATGTATAATGAAAACTAGATTAATTTAGGAGGGTTAGCCATGCATGCATGGCTAAGGGGGGTTAGTTCATACTGAAATATCAGTGAACGTAAAATTAACCTAACCAAGCATGCATGGCTAACCCTATTTAGTTGAGTTAGTTTTCATCATACATTTCTTATCAATTTTCCAGAATTCAAAATTATTTCAGATTCAAAAAATTCCTTGTTTATAAGGGTTGTTCCAAAATTTATGGTAGTGGGGGAGATGGGAGGCACTCAAATGAATTATTTGTGGATGGTTGCATTTTCCTAAGAATTTTGTAAGAATTACAAATAAAATGAAATTTTTATATTATTAGTGGTTTGGGTAAAAAGAAGTGCCTTCCATGCCTCCCATGCACTTAATTTTGGAACAGCCCTATCTTGTTGAACATTTGTAGTTTATGAATTGTAAAGCTGTGTTCTAAATTGACTTTCTCTACTTACAAACATAGATTTAGAGGAATTTGAGGAAGCTGTTTTAGAAGTTCCAGCTAATATACTGAAGGCAAGGATTGCAACAACTGCTAAAATTAATAGGTTCATCATATTCTGTTCAAGAGCACTGAAAATAAAACAAATACCACATAGAGTTACCATACAGATATACTTTTTATTCAGACTTCTTAACTTTGTGATTCATGGCAGATTTCAGCCATTTGAGGTGTAGATCTGACACACGAAATCCTCATTATACATCAGTCAAGGGTGTAACTTGAATAAGTTATTAGAGAAAAATAACATACATGTGTTATTACGGATACTTTCTCTTAATCTGTAGTAACATATGTCTGTTATCATTTAAATGTATCATAAAAAATTTTATTTTCAGTGGGCACTTGGGAATTCTTGAAACTTGCGCAGTAACTTAATACATAACCTTAAAAACTAATTTTCCAATTCAATTAATACATTTTTGATCAACCATGGTAAATCAATGAGACAAGGCTTTTAAGTGATAACTTAGCTGTAATAACAAGGCTTAGTTATTACAGGCATTTAACTTATTACATGAGACACTTGGGAATGACTAGGAAGCTTGCGCATAACCTCATTACATGCTCTTATCATTATTTATTACAATAAATTAAAATACATTGTGATATATGTAGGAGAAAAGGCTTTGAAGAGATGTAGAGAAGCTGTAATAACACCCTTTAGTTAATACAGGCATATTTTGTCTGTAATAACTTGGGTGTGTTATGCATGATTGGCAAACTATGGGCTGTTATATCTTTCCAAAGTTTAATATACATAAAGACAATTATAATATCAATAGAACTAGTACACAATTTAACAAAATAAAGGATGTATAATGCCCCTTTGAAACATATAACAAACATATGTTATCACAGATTTTTGATTTTTTAGCCCTCAATAACAAATATATGTTATTTTTCTCTAATAACTTATTTAAGTTAGACCCTTGACTGTACATGAACTGTATACTTTAAAACTTATTTTATGAAATTTAAAATGGCATTTTAGCACATTATATCAGAAAGTTTTAATCAATTTTTCTGTCCAAAATTTCTATTTTGAGTCGATGACAGCCATGATGGAAGACTGTACTTTTCAGATGACAGTGAACGTATCATTCAATCAAAGTTTGGTAGCAATTGTTCCTTCAAAAGATTTTTCTAATTTTTTTCATTAAATTTCTTGTAAAATTCTGTATTTTTGGTACAGAGATGACAATTTTTAAATTAGTTAGGGTCTTTCAATTATAGTTCTTGAAGATGAGGTATGCATGGAAATTCCTTTTAAGTTTTTTATGGGACAAAAAGCAGTTAAAAAGCAATGTACATATAACATTCTTGAGGTGTTATTCGATTCTGTACTCACTTAATTTTTTCATAATGAATGGAAACTCCATTTTCTGGAGCAATACCCAACTTCTTCTCTGCTTCCCTGATCTTCTCTTCAAACTTATAATTTGAATCTGGTAAAGTCAACACATATCTTTGAAAAGCCTGAAAAAAATGTAATATTCATCAAGCATATCTATTACTATACACTAAGGCTTGAGACAACACAAGTGTTGATTATTGAAACAAATAATTTTAAAGCAATCCCATTCAAACTTAAAATATAAAATATGTCATACACATTAAACCTTACTTACATTTCATGATTTATATTGACTCTCTTTTTCAGTCTTACATAATTATTATTTGTCTGATATACATGTATATGTATCATAATTCTTTTCTCATAGTTTAAGATGGTGAGCCTTTCTACATTTGACTTTTTCCACCAATCAGTTGGTTTAATTAGTACATTTGACTTTTTCCACCAATCAGTTGGTTTAGTACATTTGACTTTTTCCACCAATCAGTTGGTTTAGTACATTTGACTTTTTCCACCAATCAGTTGGTTTAGTAAAGAACATGGCACAATAATGGCCTCATTTGGACTATTTATTCATTAAAATTTTAATTTTTCATAAAAAATATATATATCTATGAAAATTAATGGTATTTCAAAGTTAAGGAAGTACATTAAATATTTTAAGATCTATCTTGTAACAATAAATGCAGTCATGATGTCATTAAAAACCACATAAAAAAAGACATGGATTTAGACCATTTTCAGAGTTTTTGGACCAGCAAATAATTTGGGTATCAATAAAACATTTGACAACTGTAATTACTTGAATAAACAACCTTTCTCATATCATATATACAATTTGTGTTTAACATGCAATCTATATTCATGATATTACCAACAACGTGCAGAAGTTTGTGTCAAAATATGTACAACAACACCCCTATCTTTATAAAAATCTACACTTCTGCATTTTACAAAAGTATATTTTTCTTACAATTGAAATTCTAATGTATAAAAAACTTTTGATTGTTTATTTATCACATACCGGTTCTCCTTTAAACATAGCACCATGATGAGGATAAACATGAACATATTTACCATTAGGTAACACCTGGATTCTGTCTACCTGAAAAAATATACAAATTATACATCACATTGAATAGTATAGAAATGATGCCTAAATGTCTATAAAACAGCATGTGCTAATAAATTACTTGTTATCTGCTTACCCTTCTGGAGCACCTCAGATCACTCCCATTTTTTGGTGGAATTCGTGTTGCTCAGTCTTTAGTTTTCTATGTTGTGTTTTGTGTACTATTGTTTGTCTTTTTCTTTTTTAGCCATGGGTTGTCAGTTTATTTTTTACTTATGAGTTTGAATGTCCCTTTGGTATCTTTTGCCTCTCTTGTAAGATAGAAATAAAATTCTGAGGGATAGGGTTAATAAATCTTATGCAAAAGACACAAAATGTCTTCTACATGTTGACAATTCAAGTCTTGAAACTCTGACTTAATACTGAACTGTCAACAGAACATGCTACATTTCATAATTTTTTTTAAATACTTTTTTCTTGACATACTTTGTAAGCATGACAGGTACTTACATAAACAGTGGCCATTTTAGTAGACAGATAAGGATCATGTGATCTTATTAGTCCAATATAAACATAAAAGACTATCATAGGATCAGTTCACAAACAATTTAGCAGGAATATTGGATATAAGTTTGAAATTTATATTTTTAGTCATAATTTATTACCAGTCCTATAAGTTCATTTTACTCTAAGATAAAGGATACACCATGTAGCCCAAGTAATGGTATAAGCTCACACTGCCTTTAAGACCACCTGTGTTAAACAATTAACCTATAGCTTTTCTATCTTTACACATATGGATAAAATAAATGTTGTGTCTACATGTGGACACAGATGATGTCCCTGCTTGCATATCATATATAGTTATAAAGGGACATAACTGAAGAACGGTAAAAGTGACACTACACAAATTTGAACTTGATCTGAGTTTTGTGGTAATAAGCATTGTGTGTAAGTCTCATAACATTTGGTTGAGGCTAACTTAATAAGACAACAGAAACTAAAAATTTAGCAATTTTTCTATTTGTTAACACACATAACTCTAGAACAGTTGTGTATATGTTTTATAGCATTTGGTTGAGACAAACTAAAGTTAGAGAACAGAAACAAAAAAATCAGCAATTTTTATGTTTATAAAGGGACATAACTCAAGAATGGTAAAAATCTGTATTATGTAGTAATGAGCATTGTGTATAAGTTTCATAACATTTGGTTGAGGCAAACTAAAGTTAGAGAACGGAAACAACAAAATTGTACTTGATCTTAGTTTTGTGGTAATGAATATTGTGTATAGGTTTCATAATGTTTGGTTGGGGCAAACTTAAGTTACAGAATGGAAACTAAAAATTTTGCAATATTTCGATTTATAAAGGGGCATAACTCAATAATGGTTAAAGTGACACTACCCAAATTCAACCTGATCTGTGTTTTATCAGTGGATGGCAAAATTAAACATTGCATTGTATAAAGCATTGATTGTAGTTGATTCAACTATAATCATGGACAAAGGAAGATAACTCCAAATTTAAAAATTACTTGAATAATGACATTGATATTTTTAGAAATTACATTTAGTTTTAAGACAAACTCAAGTTAGAGAATGGAAACGAAAAATTCAGCAATTTTTTTCATTTGTAAAGGGGCATAACCCTAGAACGGCAATCAAACAGCTTGTAAGCACTGAATGGTAAAGATTGCTTTAATTTATCAGTAGGAAGTAAAATTGAATATTGCATTGTATAAAGCATTGGTTGTAGTTGATTCAACTACCATTATGCACAAAGAAAGATAACTTCAATTTTCAAAGAAGACTTTGAAATATTTTTAGGAATGAAGGATAAAAATTGCTTTAATTTATCAGTGGAAGGCAAAATTAAACATTGCATTGTATAAAGCATTGATTGTAGCTGATTCAACTATAATCATGTACAAAGGAAGATAACTCCAATTTTAAAAATTACTTGATATTTAGAAAAAAAATGAAAAATTTAGCAATTTTTCCATTTGTAAAGGGCATAATTCTAGAGCAGTAAAAGTGACTGCACCAAAATTCAAACTTGATCTGTATTTAGTGGTAATAAGCATTGTGTATGAGTTTCATAACATTTGGTTGAGGCAAACTAAAGTTAGAGAACGGAAACCAACTTTGGGACGTATGTACGTACGTACGGACGTACAGACGGACAAGGGTAAAACTTAATGCCCCCTCCCCTATGGCGGGGGCATAACAAAATAGTATATTCTAAAATGATACTTGTATAGGAAGAAGTGAGCTTACCTCTCCTTTTAATAAAAGATCATGATAGAATTCTTGCCAAGTGATATATATCTTGCTGTAAGGACTGGCAGTCTCTGCAGGATCTGGTGGCATAGTCATACTCATCATTATAAATAAAATTAAAGAAATGGCAGAAACTCGAATTAACATTCTCCACATATGTTCCATTGCCTCCTTCCTGTCATCTTCTACAAATATAATGCCACACATGTTATTACTGTGATTATGTTTGCTATGCCACACATGTTATTACTGTGATTATATTTGCTATGCCACACATGTTATTACTGTGATTATATTTGCTTTGCCACACGTTATTACAGTGTTCATATTTGCCAATTCTTTCACTATGTCCATATCTGTAGTAAAGTTAAAGATTTCAATGAAGGTAATCTCTCTATTATCGGTAAATTATTAAGTCAGAGATTTCATTATTAGAAATTACTTAAAACCGTAACTAAATTATCTCATAGATACAAAGGTTTGGTTTGGTGGTTTAGCTGTAGCTGTAGAAAACTTATTACTAATGGGATATCACATCCTAATTTTATGGTGATGTTGTTTACCGAGCCCGGAAATTTAAATATGATCCAGGTAAGCTTATCTATCTTTTGAATAAACTTTTTAACTGTTATCAGCTTAACACTGTAAAAGGATATTTGAATATTGTTTTTATCAGTACTAATATATATATATATTGATTTTGGTATCCACAAATTAAAAAATATTAGAATATCTATTGCTTTACAGTTATTAACATGTTACAGATCTACAGTCTGTTAATACTTATGTTTCCAAATTGCAATGTTTTTCTCTGACTGTTTATGACGTCTTTACACTAAATCCATTTAATGTTGGATGTGTACTGATTGATATTTAAGTCTTAGTTACATAATTTTTCTTAAAGTTGTTACTGGCTTTGAACTATCTATCAGTAACTGTGAGTACTGTCAGATCAGTACTTTATGACGTAGGTGTTTTTGTTAATTGTTTTCGTGCTTTGTATCAATGTGATAAGTCAAAGACCTTTTTATGGTTTTGTTATTATGTTGTGCTGTTACACCACTGCCCCAGGTTAAAGGGACTTGCAGTCATGTTTAACCCTGCCACATTCTCTTAGTGCCTGTCCCAAGTCGGGAGCCTGTAATTCAGTGGTTGTCATTTGTTTTGCTGTATATCATATTTGTTTTTTGTTTGTTTTGTTGTACATAATCAGCTGGCAGTTGGTAATATTAAATAACAATTAATGCTATTCTATGGCCCATTCAGTTATTCATGAAAACAGATGTTTGTTTGACCTCCAATAAACCTTCTTACTCTATAACGATATCTTTGCAAACCCGACAAAGGGAATAAACAAACCAGTATATCTTTATAAAACTGAGGAACAATGGACATGATAGAATAAACTGTTTCGCTGAGCACAGCTGGATACGACCGCAGAGGTCCAACCCGGAACAGTTGGTGCAAAAATGGACACAATATTCAAGCTTGATACAGGTCCGAATTTGGATTGTAATTAAATATTTGACACATTATAGGTTTCTGACACAGAATATTAAATGTAGTCAAAGAACTTGAAATTGGTTATATGACTTGAATTTATATTCAATTGAAGATTGTTGTGCAATACACTGTGCTGTTGCGCAATATTTAGTAAATCTGTTTTCAGACTATATAGAAAGAATTAGCAAAATAAATTGTAACCCCGAATTTTTCTTTGGAAAATTGACAATTTCTTAAATCTTGAGGGGAAAAAAAATGCCCCCCCCCCCCCCCCCAAAAAAAATGTTTTCTTACCCCCACCACTTTCCAAAATCAAAGAGCTGATTGCTCTGAGGTGGAAGAAGATACATAAAAGGTAACTTGAATTACCATAAGAGCAGCCCCACCAAACCAGTCTGCTTTGTCCCATTATTGCTTTTGACGTATTTTTTCTTCAAAAAATAGTTAGACTCATAACTCAACCAAAACTCACTATACTTAACATAAAAATCTGCAAATACTGTTGATTCAAATTAATTTTTCTCTTACTAGATTCCATACATTTGTCTCGGAAAGGTCAACTTGATGCAATGCAAATTCGCCAAGCAATTATAACATTATTTGATTTGGTTTCGCTTAAAAGTTTTCTGTCAAAGGTAGATAGTTGACCTTTATAGCTTGCTGTTCGGTGTGAGCCAAGGCTCTGTGTTGAAGACCGTACTTTGACCTACAATGGTTTACTTTTATAAATTTTGACTTGGATGGAGAGTTGTCTCATTGGCACTCATACCACATCTTATTATATCTACTTAAAAAAAAACTGGCTACCAAGATTTTAGTGAAGTTTGCTTAAACTAGGGTTTTCATTATAAACAGATATTGAAAATTCTAAATATATCCAATGCAGATATGTGTCAGGCCAAGAATTGGGTTTTTGGCACTTATCAGCATTTCAAACTGGTTCCGTACTCGAGCCTCGATAATGGGTGTACCTAAATGACGAATAACGGTAAAGAGCTGGACTTTTTAGTTGTTAAGATCCCGTTTTTGGTCACTTATAAAACTTTGAATCGTAAGGGAATAAAAACAATCATTGGGGACATTTCGACAATGACCAACGGTGCATTGTTTGATGTGTAACACACCAGCAGATTCACGTGTGCGCTTGACTCTTTATTATCGCCATAACATACTTAAATATTCTAACTTTCGTATTAAAAAACACATGTTGTCTAAAACTGGAATATGACTTGATTGCATTAAAGATCTAAACGTAGACAGAACAACCCTATCTGTGTATTTTTTCAAACATCATTGATTTGAAGTCGTCCTCTCCATGAAGATACTTGACTTTAACACAAGATGGATTGTTTGAATATATGCAATTCTGTTTATCAATATTTTGAAACTTTCGTACGCACAAATTGTCAATTAAATTTCCCATTTGTTCACATGCACAGATATGTAACCAAAATTTAGATTAACCCGAATAATCCAATTGTTTTATTCCGATAATTCCAATCATTAATCTACTAAAAACAATTATTACAACAAACAGAGAATTATTATCATGACCTATATTAATGCTCCAAGACAAGCCATCAACTTTTAATCATTTTTTTTTTCATGTGTTTTCAGGAATTTCGAGAATTTATACCATATAAATATCTGAATAAGTTTATTAAAATTGAATACCCTTAATATTAATATTTTTTAATAAATGAAAGGACGTATAAAACGTCATTGATAAAAGTAAGTAGAAGGAACTTAGGGCGAACGTACTCTATGGGCGGAAGAACTTAGGACGAACAGACCAAGGGCAAACACTTAAAAAGGGCGAACCGACCCGATACCAAATTCATGCATGCCTACTACAATAATCTACATTAAAAACATCCGGTTACAAGTAAACAAATAACGTTCATGTAAGATGAGATGAAATCTAATAATTTACATAAATAAAAGGGTATATATTTTTACATTAAAACATGAGAAACTATAACACTTACGATAGTGATTGTTTTTCAAGCCTAACTTATAAATTAAATGATGCAGATGCTTAATCATGTGTAAAAATCGGTGTCACGAAATGGTACGGAAGTGGTAATGAAATTGTAATACATAGAAAGGGATACGGCATACAACCTGGTAACAGTTCAATGATTTTACAGCCGGCAGTAAAGGCTTTCAGAAGACTTGAAGTCTTCTTCCACCAAAAATAACATTTGAAGAAATTTTCGTTTTGTAAAATGTGGTACAATTTAAGAGACATCCATACCCTTGAAATATGCTTGTTTTAGAGCCTTTTTGGTCCCTAATTACTGAACGGTTTGGGCAGTTACCCCCAAAATCAATCCCAACTTTCTACTAGTAATATTGAAACTTGTGGTATAATTTCAGAGCAATCAAAATACTTATACACAAGTTATTGTCCTGAAACTAGAAATTGCTTGTTTTGGGCCCCTTTTTGACCCCTTATTCCTAAACGATTTGGACCATCACCCCCAAAAACACTCCCAACCTTCCTTTTGTAGTATTGAACCTTTTAATTTAATTTCATAGAGATCCATACACTTAAACTAAAGTTATTGTCCAGAAACAAAATGTCTTCAGACGATGATGATGACGACGTGATAGCAATATACGACCCCAAAATATTTTTGCGGTCGTTTAAAAATTACAAAACATACCCTTTTCTTTATCATCATCTTCATCATTATGTTTTTCTTTATCTGAATCATTCTCTTGTTTATTTTTATCTGGATCAGTCTTGTCTAAACGAGCTCCTGTTGTACTGAAACATCGCACTTGGCCTGAAAGTAAAAGGTTCTTTTAAGAAATTTGAATAAACAGATTTTTATCTTTTTTTGAACTAGAGATATATAACCTCAAATTTTTAAAAGATTCCTAGGCGGAAAATTTTGGACATCTTTACCATATTTCTAGATCTAATCAAATTGAAATGATAAGAAGTTCCGGGAGAGGATCTCAAACTCCACAACCTTTCACAAGATTCTCCTGTTATGTGGCAGAGAATCCTGTCAATATATGTTTGGCTCTTGTAGGTGGTGTACATGTAGTCCATGTTTTGCTATGTGAAACCCCTTAAAACATTTGATCAGAAAACAGAAATACAATTAAAGTGCTTGTGAGCACTGAAGGGTAAACATAAAAAAGATTGCTTTCATTTTGCAATTTTGTTAATTTTTAAATAAAACATTGAATTTTATTTTGATACACAAATTAGAAAACTGAGTTGGAGTTATCTTCCTTTGTTCATGATTGTACATTAGTAGTTGAACAGATTCATAAACCATGCATTACTTATGTAATTTGTAATATAAAAATGTTTCCTTGACCAGTATTGTAATTAAAATTCACATCATATTATAACTTAAATATTAAAGTATTACATATATAGCATAAAGTATTTTACATTTTCTAAAAGTTTCATCGAAATCCAGTAACTTCTGGACAAGAAATGAGGACAAGCAAGGATATGGAGTAATGGAAACAATAAATATTTTGTTCCTCTTGCTTCACCGAACATGCCAAAAACAAGCTGAGTTAAAAACTGGTTAATCTGAAGAGGTCTATAGGGATCCTATACAGCTATAGTTATCATTGAATGATCATACCTGCTACTTCTTTTGCTAAGTTTGCTTCTCTGTGAAAACCACATTTTGTCAACAAAGAAGAGAGAAATCTGAAATCTTTGCTCAATTGATGAAAAGTTCTTTTTTGATTTGTCTACAAGTAAAGAAAGACAGAATATTCAAAATCTGATATATAAATTTCCATAGATATCTGATAACAAAATAAGTCATTTGTGTAAGTGATGTTTTGTCAGTCAGGGATAAAACTTATACAAGTCAATTTTATTTAATTGAAGATGTATACGTAAGTTACTGTAATATTAACTTGTTGAAGTAAATTGTTACCATTTTTATTTAATTTTCAAAGTTTGAATAAGCTCCCCTTAATTTTCTCCAAAAATTTACTTATACAAGTAAATTTTTTTACAACCCCTTAAATTCTCATGTCTTGGGAGGTAAAAACATGCCTTAACAATATTTTCCTGGTTTCCTAACTATTTTTCCAATAGACAGTCAGGGGTACTACTTAAACAAGTGATTTCAGAATCACTTCTTCAAGTGATTTTGGCTGTGATATATTAAAAATTTTCACAAATATAGACATAGACTTTTTAAAAATCACTGAAACAAGTAATTTGAGAAGTTAAAATGTAATCACTTCAACAAGTGTTTATAACATTTTCTTGATATTTTTCCCACCAGCTTGCCTTTTTTATTGGTATAAAGACAAGAATTCAATTGAAAAAACAACTATGTACATGCAGAAATTGTCTTTTGCTTGATTAGCCTGTCAGTTTTTACAGTTTATCTAAAATATGCAAAAACTGGAATAGCCTTGAAGTAGATCATTATAACTCTAAAGAAAACCAATCAGGTTACCTAATATTGTTGACTTTTGTCTGATAGTAAGAGTAGTTAATGAATATTTGATTATAGAAAAATTCCCAAGGGTACTTTTACATGTTTTAAAAGCTTTAGCGCACTAACTTACTGTCCAAGCACACTGGTGAAATTGATATACAAAAGAAAGGGATAATTAGTTCTATGTAGGAAAATTACAGAAAAGTTTGTCAAAATATGGAAAATCAATGAAATTAGCATTTGAAGATCAAAGGAAACACCAAAATCACTTAAATAGGTGATAATGAAATCACTTGTTTAAGTAGTACCCCTGACTGATATATAGAGTTCAACCTATTATCTCAAAAACTAAACAAAGTAGTCCATTGTGCACAGACGTTAAGTACATGCAACTGCGCAAGGCCTCCAAACATTGCTCCCTGGCGGCTTGTAATTATATATAAATGAGCAGTATTTTGAAGACAACAGACAAATAAGATTTTCATTGTCCATCATGTCCATGAAATTATATTTTTATGAATAATGGACAACTATTACTGACAGACAATTAAACACTCCAGTAGAGCAATGCAGTCAAGAAAAATTCAAGAAAAGAAGAAAACAACACTTTTTTTACTTATATAAGTAGAAAAAATCTGAATGTCTAATTGATATAACTCTACCACCAAAATAATTTACCTGTACTAGTAAATAAACAACACTTGTGTAAGTATTACCCCTGACTGTTTGTTCTGTTTTGATAGATGCAATGTGTCTTGTTTCTAAACTCACCAGCTAAAGTTGTATATGTTTTTGAGGTCTTAGAATTACAATCTTTAGATACAAATGTACAAAAACAGTTGTCTGGTTTTTTTTTTAATTTACCATTGTGAATGAGTCATGATTTACATGTGCATAATGCTTGCTTAGCAGGAGATGTTTACCCTGTCAACACATCCAGTATTGCCAGATCCGAGTAGTATGCACCTTGCCATGTGCATGGGTCAAACTAACAACCTCAGTGTTGACAGGCTAGTGATCACGGAAATTTTTTTAACTACTTGACTCAATCCTGGCCCCTCTTGCAGTAGGAGGGACACTTGTCATGCTTGCGTACTGGAGGGATACATATGTCCATATGAATAATCTAAGCAAACATCTGTTCATTATTGAATCTCTTTCAAATACATGAAATAAAACATTGAAGATTATACAGTGTAATATTTTTCTTCAAGTTCAATGGGTATAAAATTTAATTGTGTAACATCATTAGGGTGTGACGTCATGCATATATCAAATGGCATTGTAATTGGGTATGTGATATCACGCTGCTAAATTTTTTGGCACACAAAATGTAACCACATTAAATAGACCTTATCGTTATTTGGGAATCTGCAACATTTACCATGTTCACCTGAGAATTTGCGACACTTGAACATTTGACGTCATACAACAGTCACTTTTCCTTTGTGGCGTCAAACATTTTCTAATGTGACCTCAAAATTTTACGGGAACCTTTGTGATGTCCAACGATGATGGACAAATAGTGATAAAGTGTATTGGCGGCAGCAAGAGGGTTAAACCACTCGCCCACCTAGACCATAGATCATGTAGATCTGACAGCTATTTGGAGTAGACTGTTGGATATTTGAACATAAGGTACCACTGACAACAAGTTTGTGATTAACTGATTACCTGAAACTTCTTGAATGAAAATCTCGAATTATGTTGTTTCAATACAGAGTACTGTCTTAGTAAGCAATTGATCGCAGTTCTGTTATTGTGTAACTTGTTCAAGCTATTGCAAATGCTGAAATGACGTCGTCCTGAGCGATAAAACTGCCACAGCGACATGACACACAATTTGACGAATAAACAACAAAAATTCTGAAGGAAATCAAGGCTTCTGCTGTGGAAATTGGCAGAAGTCCTCTACGTGATTTCGCTACTTCTGTGATTACGAAACTTTTGCTTCCATTTTAAGGTCTATCCTAATACCCAGCTCTCCTGGTTAAGTCGGCCTAAAACATAGTCGGCCTTTCACAAACTCGGACTATCATAAACTCGTACTATAACAAACTTCGACCTACCACTATTTATACAAAGAAATAAAGTGAACAAACTCGGCCTAATTTGTAGATTGTGTTGTTTACTTTTTTTTTTTTTTATTTTACATACTTTAAATACGAATTTATGAGATCAAGGACTAACATCGTCCTTGATATGAGATGATGATAAATATTTAAAAAAAGAAAAAAAAGAAATGTATTAAAATAAACTTCAGATAAAATATGTGTATGTATCAAATACAGATTAATTGAAAAATAATTTTGAATTTAGTACTTACAAATGAATGAATATATTTTTGTTTGTTCACTTTATTAATTTATATAAATAGTGGTAGGCCGAGTTTGTTATATTTTTATTGCAGAAGAATGAGGATAATTAACTTCTATTTTAAATGTTGTTGTGTATTTCTCGTTTGTATTTTTATCTTGATACTTAATGTTTTCTATTGGTAAATGGTGTTTTAAAGACTGGCGTGTATGTATGTTTGTTACGTGTTTAATCTTAAGAGCATACGATACAGTTTCGATCCCACGATGATTTTTTACGAAAATGTGCATACAAGCTATTTTTCACCTAAGCAATTCAAATATGTAATAAAAAATATACCTTCATTTGCTACTTTAAGAGATAAAAGGGGCCGAAATTTTAGACATACATTTTACTAAAAAAAAATTTTTTTTGACATATCTATCCTTTGGATAGACACACCTAACTTTTTATTTCAATAGATAAACACAAACGGATTTTTGTAAAAACATTATGAAAATCTTCTTTACATAAATATGCTCTTAATTTTAGGAAAAACACGGCATTTTTTTGTGGAATATTTATCAAATTAAAAGAAATTCACTGTTGACTTTTTCATTAAAATTGGTGCAAATAATCTTCATACATAATCAAACCTAACGCCATTTAAAAAAAAGAGGGGTCCATGTACTCGTTTTCAAGTTAAATCAGTTTCAATCATAAAAAACAGTCGAAAAATGCATCTTTTCCCGATATGTCACAGTTTGACGTCGCGAAAATAACATTTTACGTTAGCAACGTCATTACCACCCCTGCAACTGTATGATCGTATGCCCTTTAAAAGTGTTCATTATTGGTATACAAACAAAGAAAAATTAGATTGGCAGTGAATGGCTTGTCAACTTATACCTTACATTTAACTGATGCTTTCAACAGAAAATAATTGTAATTGTAAAAGTAATTGACAGTTTAATTGAAAAATAAGTTTGAATTTAATACTTTTAAATGAATGAATATATTTTTATTGCAGAAGAATGAGGATAATTAACTTCAGTTTGAAATGTTGTTGTGTATTTCTCGTTTGTACTTTTATCTTGATACTTGATGTTTTTTTCTCTTCGAAAAAACGTAGGTGCAAGCCATTAGGGTTCAGTTTTTGGTTAGAAATACATAGGTATTCATTACTTCGGATTTTCCACAATAAATTTCATATAAAACTACGTTTTTTTTCAAAAAAAAATTGTGGGTTCAGTTCTGGTTTGGTTTTAGAAGCAAACTGATTGTCACAGGTATAGGCGTATTTGTTTATTTGGTAGCTTTTTTGTTGTGGAGCCTTTTTATTTTCTGATGATATAGACACAAGTATCATTTTTGGTTCAGAAATTTGCTATATATTTCAACCAAATTGAATTGTGAAAAAAATATTATAGAAGTATGCATTAGGAGAAAAAACAAAAACAACATAAGACAAAACGGTTTAACCAAATAAAATAAAATCATTATACTCAACAGAACACCTGGTTTGTAAAATCTAATAACAACGGCCTTCAAAATATTGTGTTTTTATATAAAATATATTTAACAAAAAATATAGGTGACGAATACCTTTGTCCATGTCCTTTACTGAGGTTATTTAGGTTTGTTTAAAGTTAGGGTGAGGTTTTATTTGTAGTGTCAATTAACCCATACAAACCCGTGAACGCATAGAAAAATAAATACATGTTTCGCAATGAAGATTCTTCTGGTGGATCTCAAAAGAATACACATGTGAATATTTATCTCCACCATGTCCAACACAATAACCTTTACTATGATGTTTTTTTTTTATATGAAAATCATATATACGGTGGCCTATAATTGCTTACATTCATTTCAATTGAATGAATGAATATTTATTTGCAAAAGCATACAGAACATGCTATACATAAATATATACACAATATGACAAAAGACTGATAGCAGAGAACACTAAAATAATAATATAACTAACCAATAATATCCGACCTAGCTTTCTATGCATTCTTCAAATAGTTACAGAGCTTAATTGTAAGCGATCTAGAGGTAGTTTTCAACAAACAAGATAGTTAAAAAAATAATAGGCCATGATCAATAATAACGTGGCAGAAAAAAATTTCTAATTGCTCTATATGCTGGACATACCAATACAAAATGAAATTCGTTCTCAACACATTGCATATTGCAACATACACATAGACGCATTTCTCTTGGTATATCAGAGAAACTACCAACTTCAACATTTAGTTTCAATGTACCACTTCGTAGTTTTGTAAGAATGTGAATACTATTAAAGTAGCTTAAATAATTCTCAAGACAAAAATCAATCTTTAAACTTCTATATACACTTAATTTCTCACAATCATATATATCTGCTGACTATTTTTGCAGATATTGGTCTTTAATGCGTGTCTTTATAACATCAAACGATATATCAATACTATTCTGGTCAATCCAAATATGGTTCATTCCAAGACTAAATAAAAAGTCACGCACATTAGATGCCCAATTAATTTTACCTTGATTTGCATCGTCATATAAAATTTTATATACATCATATATGAAAGCTGGTTTATATATAACAATACGTAACTTATACTTTAAGATTAATTGTTTTCTCAAAACATACATAGGTAGATGACCAAGCTCGCCACAAAGAAAACTAATAGGAGCACGTTTACCTACTTTTAAAACAAACCTACAAAAAAGGTTATGTATAATATCTATGTCGTTGGCGCGGTGAAAACCCCATATTTCGGAAGAATAGTTCAGTACCGATCCAACCATACTGTCGTAAAGAAGACATTGTTGATGTGTAGAAATGTAGATATTATTCAAACAGTTTAAAAGTGACGAGAGAGCTTTTGACCCTTGTTGGGACAGTCGTTTTTGTGTGTGTAAGAATTTCCCGTTAAAGTGTAGCAACATTCCAAGGTAAACGTAGGAATTTACGATTTGAAGTTCTTGGTTATTATATATGAAACGATTATTTACAGGTTACCATCCATTTCTGAACACAACTACTTTAGTTTTATCAGTGTTAACTTCTATGTTCCATTTTCTACAATATTTGGATAGATTGTCAGGTAACTGTTGAAGAAGTTTGGGAGATTTGGCAAACAAGACAGTATCGTCTGCAAAAAGTATCAAATAAATTAAAGTCCATTCAGGTTCACTACATCTTCATTATTTGTAACAGTTATACATTCAATAATATCATTAATAAATTTGAGGAATAATAAAGGAGATAAAGGTTCACATGGTTTTATTCATAACAAATTGTCAAAGGCATCAGAAAGAAGTCCACCAGATCTTACTCGAAGACGCATTCACAGACGCATAAATAGATTTAATAATGGCCACAAATTTACTGCTGACTCAATTTCGAATTAATTTATATACCAAAGTACTCCTGCTTAATTTATCGAACGCTTTTCGAAAGTCAACGAAAGCGCAGTATAGTTTCATCTTTTGTTGAAGAATATGTACAATTATACCTAGTCCTATAATATAAGACTTCGTACGTTCATATCGTTTGCATTCATCGTTTTTTATCGGATATTTTTTTTACTATCAATGCTGAACTGTTTTATTGGATATATATTTTTTTAAATATCCGATAAAAAACGTTGAATGCAAACGATATGAAACTACGAAGTCTTATATTATAGGACTATGTATGTTTGTGTACATGCTATTTAATGAAGATAGAACTCTTGTTTATCACCAAACCCATATGTGGATGACAGGTATTCAAAAAGAGAGGTTGTAAATAAAAAGGAAATTGTAACAATTACAAAAAATATTTTGAAAAAAACCTTCTAAGTAGTTAAGTTTGCTGTGACCTTTCTCATTCAAAATTGCAGATTCTTTTAATAAGTGTATCGATCTGTATTCTTTTATTTGTCTTTGTAATTTATTACTTTTACTGTTTAGCCTATTGTTGGCAGTATCCATTTGACGTGGCTCGGTACTTGTACATCCCGTCATTGTGTTGTTGTGCTATGGTAAATTTTTGTATTCTTGTCTTTTTGTTTGTCTTTGTTGACATATTTGTTTGTTTTTATAGTGATTAAGATTATAACACAATGTTGACTGATGTACCCCTATTTTTGACATTTTTACCTACTTTGTCTGTTTGTTTTGTTCACACATCGTTGTCAATATAATGGAATTCTATGCGACTGTCATACAAGTGAGAGGTTTAGCTAGCTATAAAACCAACCATTTTCTACATAAGATAATGCCTGTACCAAGTCAGGAATAAGACAGTTGTTATCCATTCGTTTGATGTGTTTGAGCTTTCGATTTTGCCATTTGACTACGGACTTTTCGTTTTGAATTTTCCTCGTAGTTCGGATATTTTTGTTATTTTACTTTTTTCTGTACATAATTAAGTGAGATAAAAAGGACAGAATGTCTGTTTGGAAATGTAAGGTATATACAGCTGTCTCATTTACAATCCTTTTCTCTATTATACGCGAAGAAAGACAAATTACGAGTAAAGAGAGAACAGTGTGACAATTGATTCAGATATTTTGAAATAACATTGGATCATATTGCTTTAAAGAAAACACAAAGTCAATGTGCTTGAGTCAGGAGAACTTTAATTATTCCTTAGTTGTTATTGGTTTTGAACTAGCTTTCAGTAATTGCGTGTACTAACAGATCGATAATTTGTGTAATTAGTCTTTATATGTTATTCGTTTTTGTGCCTTGTGTCGATCTGAAAATCACACCATTTCCAACTGATTTTTACTGTTCGTTCTTATGTTATGCTGTTACATCACTGTCCCAGGTTATTTTGGGAGTTGAGTGCTCAAAAACATGTTTAACCCAGACTATCTATACTAGTATGTGCCTTTCTCAAATAAGGAGCATGTATTTCAGTAGTTGTCGTCGGTATTTATTTTTTGTTTATATGCCGTTTTGGGAATTGATGTTAAAGGCGCAGCTCTTTCTTTAAAGCCACGTGGCGATTAAGATCTATATGCATATTGTTTATTGTTGAAAACCGTATTTTGAATTGCATATGTTGATAAACTCTGTTTTTTGTGTCGTTTGGTTGCTGTCTAACCCACACCTACTCTTCAACGACTTTTAGGCTTTTACCCAGACCTTTTTTTATTCATAATAAAATTATTGTATATTCAAAAATATATGTGTAAATGCATTTATAAGTGCGGATTTTTTAGCCTGGACATAAATACGAGTATAATTACATATTACATACTTGTACATGTTATTTATAACGTTACTTCCAAAATTTTAATGTAAGTATTAATTCATTACGAGGTTCGTCCAGTTGTTGTGGAATTAAGAAACACGTCAAAATTAATTCTAAGGTTACAATAATTATCATGAAGATAATAAAACTTATTATTAACATATAATTTTCTGCAAAAGTAAGAAATACAGTATTATACAAACGAAACAACATAGTATTTTTACAACTATATTTGTAAATGTAACAAATAAAAATGGATGCAGCTACAAGTTAATTTTGGTTCCGTCACAAAAATGTTTGTAATCTGAATGATTCCTGAATATACTTGTGTTTACTTTGGCGGTTCTTTAGTTTTACTTTGGCGGTTCTGTACTTCCGGACTCTTTCTTTTCAGCCTTGTCGTCAGTTTTCGCGTCACTATGATCTACCTTTGAACTTTTCTTCTTCTTTGAGAAAAAATTAACTAAAAATAAAAAAAAAAAAAATGGAATAAGTTTTAATTTACCAAAATTTTTCATAAATTGCAATTGATACTATGTTTTATTTATTTCGGATTCTGCGGAAACATAACAGCTCAATTTTGTTGATTATTATTTCGCCGTTTTATCTACTTTATGGAGCAACCATTTAACTTCAAGGGGGTTATGGTTTTTTTGTCTGAGCCAAACATTTTTTTCAACGCTAGCAACCAAATCATTTTTTTTTCAAAATTTAACACTATATGGTATGAGGAAAATCAGGATTCAGAATATTTATTTCTGTCATCTGCTTGACCACAATATTTTTTTTTCATCAAATTGGGGATTAGAATATTTTTTTCGGAAAAAACCATACCCCTCCCCCTTTTGAAGTTGAATGGTCGTTCCCTTATACTTTTGTGTCAAATCAATTCTTACTGGTTTGCACCAATATGTCACCATTAGTGACCCCGACATTCAAACCAGGAATAAGATATTTCACATTGATCGGGTTGTTTTTTGCGTATTTTGCATGATAGAAACAAGTGTTTCTTTGTTTCACCAGCAAACCGGAAGATGACTTGATAATTTCGTGTCGAACTTGTCAACGTCGATTCATTCATTATAACGTCGATGATATGTCCGGGTTAAAGTTGTTAAGGCCGGGTCAACGTATTTGACGTTACAAAGCCGTGATATATGCAACTTTATCGGTCGTCATATTCGTGAACCCTCTAGACCAATAGTTTGGGAGCTAGCCAATATAATATATACCCAAAACTCAAGATAGAATTTCAGCCTTTGTTAACCCTTTTTTGTGTGAAAAGGGTTCCTATCGCAAATTGCTCTTTACATTTCTTATAAATTGATGGGGCGGTAAGTTGGTTGCTGATGTCATGTATACATATGGTACAAATGATATATTATGTATGTATTTACATTTGTTGGAATTGTGCACGATTTTCGTTCCATTACCTTTTATTGATATGTTAGGGAAATATATTAAAATGTCTTACTTAGTATAAAAATAAGGAGATGTGGTATGGTTGCCAATGAGACAGCTATCCAGCAAAGACCGAACGGAAAATATTGTAACAAATTTGAGATAACCACGCAACCTTCAACAATTAGCAAGACCAATTCATATACAAGACAAGCGTGGAACAATTTAAGAGAAAATTAACAGACTTGTTCCTTTCCAGATTAACAATTTTCTTTTCTTCTTTGTGCATGTCTTGTATACAGGTGGACCATGCTGTCATTCATTTTTAGTTTTTAAATAACCAACATTGTCCATGCATTTGCTTGCCTTTTATCTTTGTTTTAATTTGTTCAATACGAAGCCAAAAATTGTATGCACTTAATGTCATCTTTTCACGACTTTATTTGTATGCTTTGTATATATTTATGCAAAAGAGTTAAACAGATTGGATATTTAGCACTATAACACCTGAAAATTGTGCTTTTAGATGTGCATATACACGCAGGAATACCAAATCATATAATATTATCGTTTATTCCATTGACATTTGAAGTCACTGTGCTTGCTTTTAGTATGGAATACGAAATCAAAGTATTCGTACTCATATTGTGCAGAAACTCTCAACACTGTTCGTTAACTTATCTATGTGACGAATCGCTTCCCTCTAAGTTATATAAGCAAGTTTTATTGACTGCCTTAATACACTTTTTTTCATTATCGCGAAAAAAGTCAAAGATAGCGAGACAGACAAACTGACTTTGTATATACATATTATTATACCAGCTTCACTGTCGCTGTTAAATACATATTTGTAATTAAAATCTCTATCTCTTCTATGATTGCTTTTGTCGTTTTCATTTTCACTGAACAAACAATAAATATGTTATCCTTTTTATATCATTCAAATAAAAAGATGCAATTGATAGTAAAAAACATACAACATCCCACTCCTGCTTCAGCAATATCAGCCGCATCGCCTCCCATATCAGCCGCATCTCCAACTTGTCCAGCAACATCAGAAATATCTCCTGCCCCAGATAATTGGGCTACACCTTCAGCAACACCACCTGCATCTTCAGCCGCGCCCATTCCTTTCCCTACACCCTTTACACCTTTTTTGGCGTTTTTCCCCATGTCTTTCGTCTTGGTAGAATCACAGCAAGCACACATAATTGAACTGTAAAAGATGATTAATTCGACCAAATACATATCATACAAATAAAAGAAGATATTGAATATATAGTCTATATATATAAATATATACATATTTAATTTATTAAAAGCTAGAAACCAGTACAACATAAAGTATTGACGAAGTTTTTCTCCGGTATAAATGTAGATAAGAGCTATTGGTTAGACGGGCACGTGGTTGAGGAGCAATGAAACAAAACGTTTTCCAAAAATGACACGTTGAATTAATATATATATCACTTGGAATAAGCACACATATACAAATGAAAGAGATAAGCTATAGGCAAAAAATATAATCTAGATAAGTGAATTAAAAAACCATGCCAGTACTCTGTATTAAATGGTAGGGATTGTCCGTTGTTGAGGATACACGTAGACCTAGATGTGCAACACAGACTTTTTAGAGACTGATGTGTTTTTATTTTGTCCAGAGGTTAGAGGAGAAGATTTTTGTAAAAGTTAACAGACGAAAGACAACAGACGAAATACAACAGACGACGGACACAAAGCAATAGCAACTTGGGCCAGGAGAACTACCAAGGATGGAACATCTTTTGGTCTTGTACTTTTGAAATACTTATATATAGAAGAGTATTTTTTTAATATAATTGAGTTTAAATTGCTTGCAAAAATGTCTGCTGCGCGTGGTGATGCATGTAATCACAACAGTTAAATTTTTGATGAAGTTCGTTGTTTTATTAAACAGTCCAAAAGATAGAATCTTGCTGTTCTGTTTTTTCTCTCTTCTTACTGCAACAACGTAATATAAGATGCGATAAATTGTGTCCAGTCCTATTGCAATTATCTATTGCAATACATTACCATTAAAATATAACTAATTGCAAATGATATCATATTGATGCGGTTCCGAAATCTCCAGTTGAGAGAAATATATTACACTTCCGGCTTGAATAGTGGAGAGATTTTTGTCATTGAACTTATTTAAATGTATGATTACCGAAAGATTAAAATCAAAATTATCAGGTTTAAAGGGTTAACTCCTTCTCAAACTATTGTGAAATTTTTTGAGTATTTCAATTACTTGATGTTTTCAAAGTATAGCCATTTATAAAGAAGCTCATTGGAACAACCTACAATAAGACCTTTAATATTTTGTAAGCATACATGTATCAATGTAACATTTATCATTGTCATAAATCCCTGTATGTCTGTCCGTTCATGTTACCCTGCAGAATATGCATACCCAGCTTACAACGGTATGAGAAGCTACACCATACTGTAATACCACCATCACCGATTGCAGTCGTTGGGCAAATGTTGTTCTGGTCATAGGCAGTTTTATTTTCCCGCCAAACTCGTATTCTGCCGTCTTCTGGTCGAAATAGAAACCGACTCTCAATGATTTTTTTTGCCAGCTTCTCATGTTCCAGCGTCGATGGTCATTAGCCCATTCAAACTTGATTATACGGTGCCTGGGTGGCTATAACGACGGGTAGGTAAACGGGATCTTCCGGACCTTGTTCTATCATTTACAGTTCCTGTGTCAACATGACGTTGTAAAAGTCTGACAATGACTGTGGGATTAACATTGAAATGGTTACTTATGCTCCTAGTGCTCCTATTGGCATGCTTGCCAACGTTCAGCCACAGATAACTTACGCCTTGCCATATTACACAATGACTTGATGAAGGTCAAATTTCACCTGTACGCGGGACAATAGGAAGATGATTTAAAGGTATTGAAACAGTGTATTTGTAAAAGTGCAGATGACCTTTAATAAAAAGTTGCTTAACGGGTTTATCGGAGTTCAATCTTTTTGGTCGTAATGAATTTTTTTAGTTTATGTTAAAGGCAATTCATAACACCAAACATTAATATTTTTTTCGCAATAGTTAAACAAATATTGCCAGTTATATTTAGGTGGTGCTTAACTTTTGGCGGACTGTATAGTTCGAAAAACAAAAACTGCGATAAATTATTCCCACTTTATTCAAACGTTCCTTTGCCTTATTCAAGTATATGTTTTGATTGTATCTCTTTGGGCGCATTGCATATGCGACAATTTTTGAAATATGCTTATATCCTTCGCAACACACTGTAATATAACATTTGCGCTAAAGACTTAGTTTCGCCATCTTTTGAGACACATATATGAAGATACCAATATTCAATCAATGTTTTATCCAAAATGCGATGCTTCAAAGTTGTATAATGTTTTGTAGAAAAACTCCAGAGAATGTAAGTGAGTTCATTTCTAATACATAACTGAAAAGCACTTGGGTATGATATATATATAGTGCCGATTCACATGCATGTTCAAGTTGACCAGATGGACATTATTCAATCCAAGAAAAACAGATGAAAAAGATCGTCTTTTTTATTACAGCACATACAGATTATCCAATGTATTGAAGAATAGAGATAAGTCGTATGTGGATGCACAGAAATCAGTATGACAATAGATAGCACACAGAGTTGCATAACGCAACCAAAGGCGATATGATATATATTTATTTTAGCTAAAATCAATTATTGAAAATAAATCTGCTCTATATCATACTTCAACCTCCCCGTTGTGACCAGGAATAGCGTGTAATCTTAATTGGACGAGATTATTACAAGTAACTGATATAAGCTTTCCATAATTGAGGCGAGCACACTACCACGGAACCACCGAAGAGTTTGAAAAGGATTAAAGGCTAGAGAGAAATCGTAAACATTTGTTCGAAGGAGAGACTTCACACTGATTAAAACTCACAATAAATACAATTTATGATCATTTGCAGTATAAATTCAACTAAAGACAGCACACTAAGATGATAATGAAGATGCAGTACTTTTTTCTCCATATTCACTAATTAATATATATCTTGACCTACACTTAGAAATTGAATGAAGTGTCAGTTGAGGATTTAACTTTATGAACGATTTTCCTACTCTGAAATCTCCATTTTATATTGCTCATTTCAACGACGTCTGTATATGAAGTATATATCTTACAGATGGTATAGCATTGCACTGCTAGTATTAAAATTTTCGTATCCGGCTATTGTTTATAGAGAATTGCTACCTACTTGGAAGACACTGAACAATTGACTCATGAAGGAAAATCTTTAAGTCAGCATCTAAAAAGTTTTACACCTGCCTTCATATCTTGAACGACTAGAAAATTTGCATCATAGAGGAATGCGGAACGGTTGCACTTATCATTAATTCAAAAGTTTGATTACTTGGTTTGCAAACCAGCAAGTCTTTGCCAATATCGATCTTCGTCTGAGGTATAACGATTCATGATTTATAAATGGATTAAAAGAATGACTGGATGTCCGGCCCCATAACTTATGTTACTTACCTAATTTAATCCGGCTAGGCCATCCCGAGTCCTTACGTTAATCGTTGAAAAAGTCCAAGAAAACATACCCTGTGATTTTTATGTTTTGTTTGCCAATCATTTTGTTCAAATATTATTTTCCCTTATATAAAATAAGGGTGTGTGGTAGCATTGTCAAGATGACAACAAAGTCCACATAAGCGGATTTAAGCAATAAAAAGCTACCGTACGGCCGTCAACACCTCGAAAAAAACCTTATACTGTATGTTCAGCTATAAAAAAGACACGATCATGACAAAATGTGAAAAATTCAAACGATAAAACCAGATATATGACTGAACAATTAACAAATAAATTAGACAGACACAAACACACGACGACCACTGAAGTACAGGCGCCTGACCTGGGACAGGCACATATATAATGTGACGGGGTTTAACATCCCAGTGATCGCTCAATCCTCCCCTAACCTCGGACAGTAATGTAACAGCACAACGTAAGAATAAACTGTAAAAAAGAAAGCAAACCGGAAGAGATGTCATATGTTAATAATCAATACTGATTTGCACCACAAACTAAAAATTCAACGAACAAAAATAAAGACAGCATATAGAGGAATGCTCCAATCTTAACGTAAATACAAAATGTCGACAAAAACACATAACAGCTTCTGTCAGCATCGAAATCAAATAAGATTAATAAGACAACAAAAGTCTATAAAAACTCACATTAAATATGACATGGCGTCGTATTAACAACTGTAGTTTCTTTAAGGTTATTTTATATTTTTCTCGTCGAACATTTTTTTTTATCGAATTTGGTATATGTACATGCATATACTGATTTCGTTAATATACAATGGCATATTATAACACATCCTTGGTTCGTGTATTTCTTAGTATTCCTTTCGTAACGTTCTGACAGTGTTTGATCAAGAATAGAAAATCATCTGTGAATTATATTCTCCATTTATAAGATTTCCCTTTTGGATAATCCAGAGATTATTGATAATAATAGGGACCAAAAATGAATAGCCCAAATCCACATAAGAACCACTTTGTCCGAAGCAGTTTGAACCTTAGTTTCTAAATAATTTGTAAATTTATGAATACAAGAAAGATATGACAAAGGTCTATAAAAAAAATTTAGTAAATGGTCTCAATTCCATTTTATACACAGACTGCGCAAAACGTATGAATTTAGTCTAGGTCTGGCTTAGATAAAAGAGAGGCGAAAGATACCAATGGACATTCAAACTCATAAGTAGAAAATAAACTGACAACGCCATTGCTATAAAAAGAAAAATACCAACAGACAAACGACAGTATAATAATGTTTAACTGAAATACCATTTATGGTAATCGAGAGGATAAATGCTTAATTGTAACGCCAATGTCAAACTTTTTAAATGATCATCGAACCGTAAAATGCATTTATAAAAAATGATATTTTATCGACGATAATGGTTTCTTTGCAAATCTAGGAAATAGTTTCTGTCATTTCGCTATTATAAAATGATTATTCGGTTCACTCTGCTGATAGTCAAATTTTGGAAAAAAAATACTGAAATTGGTAAAATGGCCGTTTTAAAAAACTGATAAATCCAGTTTTTCTAAAAATCAATATACAAAAAAAGAGAAAGGACTTCAGGCTCTTAAGAGCTTGTATCGCTTATCAGAATCTAACTACATCT